TTCGCTGTCAAAAAATCCCTCTCCCTCTCTGCATGTTTCCTTTCGTCAAACCTTCTGTTGAATTATGATTTTCCAACCCTATATTTATCTATCTATCTATGTTCTCTCTATCTATCTATCTATATAACTATTTAGACCTGTATCCATCAAAGTATACCCTGTGGTAGTCTTCAGGAGTAGTAATTGTGGGAGAATATAAACATTTCTTTATACTCGACCCATCTGCTTATATACACCTTTCCGTTTATATATTTGTCTGCTTGTCTGCCTATCTGTATTGGTGTCTATCTGTATTGGTGTCTATCTGCCAAGCTGTCCGTCTATCTGTCTGTCTGTCTGTCTTTTTTTCTGGGTGTACATCTATCTGCCTATCTGCATTAATCTATCTGAATGTTTATCTGTCTTTATACCAATCTGTCTTTCTGTCGATCTATCTGCTTGTTGGCTTTCTATCTTTCTATCTTTATCTATCTCTCTATCTATCTATCTATCTATCTATCTTTCTTTCTATCTGCATCAATTTTCTGAATGTTTATCTGTCTTTCTACCAATCTGTCTTTCTTTCTATCTATCGATCTATCTGCCTGTTGTCTATCTATCTATCTATCTATCTATCTATCTATCTATCTTTCTATCTTTTTAATTCTATCTTTATCTATCTATCTATCTATCTATCTATCTATCTATATCTATCTTTATCTATCTATCTATCTATCTTTATCTATCTTTATCTATCTATTTATCTATCTATCTATCTATCTATCTATCTATCTATCTATCTATCTATCTATCAATCTATCTATCTATCTATCTATCAATCTATCTATCTATCATTCTGTCTTTCTAATTCTATCTTTATTCATCTATCTATCTATCTATCTATCTATCTATCTATCTATCTTGCTAACTATTTGTCTACAGATCGATCTTTCTGTCTCTATCTATTTATTCAGCTATCACTCTTCTATTTCTCTCTCTATCTATCCGTCAACCACTATATATATCTATCTATTTTTCTATATATCTATCTATTTGTCTATCTTTATTTCTATCTTACTATCTTTCTATCTTTTTATCTTTCTATCTTTCTATCTTTCTATCTTTCTATCTTTCTATCTTTCTATCTCTCTGTCTGTCTCTCTATCTATCTACGAATCGATCTTTCTAACTATGTATCTATCTATCTTTAATATATTTGCTAATGAAAATTTCTCCAATTGTAACCACACTGTAAATTATGGTTTTAAATCTGTTTGATTTAAATGGATTATTTGTCCAATTTTATTATATTTTGATTATATACAATAATGAAAATGATTGCCTTAACTTAGAACTTAACTTAAAACTTTAAATCCACTGTTTTTCATTTTTTTTTCATTTTTTGGTTCTTCACCCCTCTCTTTGAACAATCCTAAATAATCAATTTTACTTTTTTTTTGACTGCTCTCTCCTTCTATTTACTTTTGGTTTTTTATCATTAAAATCAATTTTTGTTTTGTTTAGTGAATTATTTATCAGTTTAGAGATGGGTCCCTCTAAATATCTAGCTAGGGACTCCACAAAGATTCAGCCGGCTTATAAAAGTCCCATTCATTAATATTTATACAGGATCGGCCTTGAATGCTTTGATTTACCGCTCTAACTCACGTATTTCTGTAGCCCTTTAATTACCTGTTTATTTTAGCACTATAAAGTACTTTTTATTAGCTTTGCCTTTTAAGAAGTAATGGGCAAAATTCTAATCGATTTTTGCTTGAGAGCTTGAGACCTTTAAATCACAGTGACTTTGATGATTAAGAAATGTCTTCTATCTATCTATCTATCTATCTATCTAAAATGTACTGCAGTGAAAGCAAAAGAATATTTGCTGTTTTTTTATTCAGTTTTAGTTAATTTTCACCATATTCTTTATAATTTTGTTTACACAGTTGCTTTTAATATGAATATTTCACTTATAAATTTTGTTTTTTTGTTTTTGTTTTGATGAAATGCCTTTTATACTGAGAATATATTTATCTTATTGCTATTATGTTTTTGAATCATTTAGTAATATGACGTTTTTTAGTATTTTTAGTATTTTCTAGATTTTTCAAATCACTGATGAGCCGTTTGGTTTGGTTTGGTCTTCACTTTTTATTTAATAATTAAAGCACTATGGTATATTAAATGACAACAAGAACATTTTGCATCTCTCACACATCTTGTGTCATTCACAGTGGCATATTGAATCACAAAACACAAAGATTATTCACAAATCACAAATTCACATTATTTTTTGTACTAGTGCTCTTACGTACGTACGTGTGTACACATACGCGTACGTACGTCCGACTGGACGTATCATGCTGCTACGCGCACAGGTGAATCTGGACTGGAGGGGGAAATATTTAACACAGAGAGAGCAACAAACATACTTTAATAAATATATCTTGTTCCGTCATAATATTTACACCACAGCAAAGAGCGTGGGGGGGGGGGTAGGGGGGCATTTTCCCCATATTGGTTAAAAAAACAAGTTTAGGTTTTTGGGCTTTTTTAAGGCAATACAAACAAACTGTGAATTTGTGAAGGTTTTAACATTTCAAAACTGTAAAAGTTTACTTTAATAAACTATGCTAAATTTTTATCCTAATAGAAAATTTGACATGGTGTACGGAAAGCAAATGTGTTTAGATTATCTATTTTAACAGTATTCTTAGTTTTCAATGTGAAGGTCTTCTACATTGGGTTGCAACCATATAAAGATTAGAAAATCAGAGTTTGTGGCAAAAACTCAGTTCCTTTGCAGTCCAATAATAAAAACTCTGAACTTTTAAACCTGCGTGAAAGTGTTTATATTTCGTTGATAGAGACAAGAGTGTTTTATGTTTGGCAGATTAATGATTTGGTTCTATTCCATTGAACTTTCAACATACATTCAAAGTTCTGTGTACACACGGTGAAAGTTTATTTTGGCAACCCTACAAGAAAAAAGATGATCAATAACAGATCCAAAATTTTATAATAATTAAAATTGTAAAATCAAAAATGTGAAAAAAGCGTTCGCAAAGAAAGAATACGTAAATATGTGAATAAAATTGACAGAAATATGTATTAATATTTTCCAGTTTTGTCACAATTTTGATCAAACAAAATGTCAAAATTTTTCCTTTTTTATATTTAAAGTAGGTGGAGACCATATTTCGGAAAAATGAGAAGTTGGAGAAGTTTTGCTTAAAAACTACAGCGGTCGGCGTATACATCAATACAATGAAGACGGCTTTTTATCCATATTTTTATCCTTGACAAATATTTTTCAAATTAATTGTTTAGATGTGTACATGTTTATGTCTCTCTGCTGAAAGCTTGGTAGAAATCAAAATTAAAATAGAAAGTCGTCTTCATTGTATTTTTATAAACGACTACAGCTGTATTCAACCAATTCATAATCATAATTGATATCTATCCATCTATTTCAATATTTATCTATCTTTCTATTTCAGTTTGGATTGGCAAATCTTATATCTTTCCTGCTTTCAGAGAGTTTTTACTTTTGCATATTTAAGAATATCTACTCAATTCGGTAATATTTATCACTACTTATTTTAAGATAAACTCTTAACTAAATGAATTTAGAAAACTATGCTGGTTTAAGAAAGTTTTAGAAAGGTAATTGCAATTATCCAGAACAAAAACAATTAATCTTTATCAGGTGTATAGGACGTTAATATGTTAAAAAAAATCTTTCTGACACCCTAAAGGTGTTGTACGGCTGTATAATGCACTAAAACCTGCATTCCTTAAATATTATACAGGGAAACTTTCATCTTTCTAAATATTCCAGGGAAAGATATGACCCCTTCTTTGAAATAATTATGATACACAGGGATTTTGATTTATATAGACTAAGGTTTGGTTTTGGTTTTAGTTTCATATTATTCCAATTTAGTTCAGCTCAACATATGCAATAAACATATTCCAGTATATATTTTCATAACATATGCAAAAAACAATAAACATATTCCAGTATATATTTTTATAACATATGCAATAAACATTAAACATAACATATTCCAGTATATATTTTCATAACATATGCAATAAACAATAAACATATTCCAATATATATTTTCATAACATATGCAATAAACAATAAACATATTCCAGCATATATTTTCATAACATATGCAATAAACAATAAACATATTCCAGTATATATTTTCATAACATATGCAATAAACAATAAACATATTCCAGTATATATTTTTATAACTTACAGACGAAAGTGAATCGAGCCTAGGCTTATTACGCAATAGCGAAACATTTGATCATTAATTAGATAATATTATAATCTTTCTTGCTGCATGCCATAACGAAAAAGAATTGGTATGACAACATTGTTCTTTCCCCAACACCTGTCGTGTTAATATGGATATCAGAAAAATAATATAAATTTTGTGCATTATTGCAGCAAATATTACCATTGTATAGTTATACCTGTAAATTTTACTAAGACTAGCACTCAATTTCGATATAATCAACATGCCTTTTCTATGTAGATAAATACAGGGTGTCCCAATAAACATAGGAATTCAGTGACGAATTCGATATCGTCTTTGTTATGAATTAGCATTGTAATAACTAATTTCAAAAGCCAAAATATAATTATGTCTGCTAGAGTTTAATTTTTTAATTTATGAAAACGGTAAATGGCTGTAAAGATGTGTCAATACTNTTTACTAGGTACAACCATATGCAGTCAAAACATAAACAAACAAATTGTAAACATAGCAGACGCAAATCTTACGGATTACAGCTTTCTCAGTAGGTATCACTGTACTAAATCAAGGAATTATTTAAAAAGGCGATATCGAATTCGTCACTGAATTCCCATGTTCATTGGGACACCCTGTATAATAGTCATAGACAATTTTTATTAAAATCAAAATTGAACGGAAAAACTCTTTCACATGGGAAATCAAAGGGTGTTTCCCGTTATCTTGATTTTTTAATATTTCTTTAGGAATTTCCGAGAGAAACGAAGAAAAGAGAATTTTCTAGATTTAATTTTGAAAAGACGAATTGCAAGACGAATAGTAAGGTAACAACCCTATATTTGTTGTGGCCGAGGGTAGTATCCATCATTTAAAACTGGCTTGCACTATAGCACACCTCATATAAATCCAAAAATCTTAAAAAGTTGGATTTTTGTCATGCATCACACTTCCCCCCCCCCAACCCTTTCAGGGTTAAGACAATAGATCTATTGTGAAGACTGACTTTGCAACATGTGCTTTTTTATGCAGTTGTTTAATATTTATATTTGTTATCAGGAATTTCCGAGAGAAACGACGCAAAGATACTTTTTTGGATTTATTTTTGAAAAAACGAATTGCTAGACAAATAGTTAGGTGAGAAATAAATTGATTAGTTGCAGAACTTTAATTTTTTAATTCGTATATCTAGGAAACCTGTTAAACTTTGATATTTCAAGATAAAACTAATTGATCAAACAGAATTCATATTTTGAAATATAAAAGCTCTACGACATCCTAGGTTGTCAAAATATATGAATTAAAAAATAGAATTTTATGTGTTAGTAAATTTTCAACAACGATTAATAATTTTTAAGTGCTACAGTTATATACGTCAAAAACTATGTTTATCTAACAATAATAATAAAAGATATTCTCTTAATCTTAGATAAAGTAAACATTATTCTTACTTGAATCGAATTTAATGAATTGGAAAGAGATCGCTACACTACGTATTTCCGGTTTGAATTTAAATTTAGCTGACACAGATCTAATCAAAACAGACTTCAGGAAACTAGGAAAGCTGGAACCTCTCAACCTATAGTTCCTTAAATTAGAGGCTTGGCCAACTGCTAGGATGTTAAAAAAAAGAAATTCTTCAAAATTAGCCAAAATATGATAAAAGATGTACGAAGAAGAAGAAAATGAATAACCAGAAATATAGAAATGTCAAAATGTTATCATTTAATTCTTTAAAGAATATTGTTAAAATAAAAAAATTAACATATGTAAAAGAATCTATGAGGATTTGAATCGGTGGTTCAGGATTAAACCTCTCCAGTTTATAAACGTTTATAATTATTTAAATTATCATTATTCAGGAATTTCCGAGAAAACCGCAGAAAAGAGAAGGAAGAATCAAACTAAAGAGAGAGAACTACGAAATGAAATAATTCGATCATCAATTCATACTTAAAATAATTATTATTATTAAGGACATCGGTCAGTCATGTCCGTCATTCGGTGAAGTTAAATGAAACTTATTCAAAGTTTGTCTGCTGAAAACTCTGACACACATCTTGAAATTATCTTGTTTAATTTTTTGATTAAAGTAAAATAGAGAGTATATTAAACTAATTTATTTAAACACTGGTCACATTAAGTGAAAGTTGAAAATAAAATAAATGTGACTTATTCAAGCCGAGAACACAAATTATGGAGTATTATTTATTGCAATAATGATTATTATTTTTAATCAACAGCTTAATACATATTCACAATCACATTGTATTACTATTTTAAACATCAAATTGTACAGAAGAACTTAATAAATAAATTATAAACAATCAAACTTGATTAGCCTTAATAGTCAATGTGCTCATGTTTTTGTAAAATACAGTCGCCGTCGTATATTTCAATACAATGACGACGATTTTTTTAATTAAGTTTTGATTTATAACAATCTTTTTTTCAAATTGCAAGTTTACAAGTAAACAAAGAGGAGCTTTTAATTGACAGCTTCTCTTTGTTTCCATTTTTTTGTATCCATGCTGTTTAAAAGCTTAAGGTGGAATTAAACATTGAAATAGAAAGTCGTCTTCATTGTATTGATATATGCGACGACGACTGAATATAAACAGAAAGTATGCTTTAACTTCTGGAATAACACTGCAGTACAGTTGATGTTTGCAATATATATAAATATAATTTAGGAAGCGCTAATTACAAAGTATTTACACACTGTAAAGTTTAAGATAAGAAAAGATACACCATGAAACCCCATACAAAAAACAGGGTACTGCATTTTATTGGAAAAATGTAAACAACCCCCAGCATCACTAGGTTTGCTTCTCCCAAAAATTTCAGAGCACTTTTTTAAACTAAGACATGAGAGCTTCTAGTGTGTATTTTTGGTTTTAGTTGCAGGGGGTGTTCAGTTGCAGGGGGTGTTCAGTTCCAGGGGTTTTCAGTTGCAGGGGTTTTCAAAGATCAAATTTACAATTTAATGTTTCCAACGCATTGGAAAGTGTGTTCCAAGAAAAAAAGAGGATTAAGTAACAAAAAATCATATTTTATTGCAAATATGTCCTTTAAACAACTATAAGGTTGGTGTTGTAAAAATCATATTTTATTGCAAATATATGTCCTTTAAACAACTATAAGGTTGGTATTGTAAAAGCTTGAAATAAAAAAATATCTGGTATTTTAATGAATGACAAATTAAAATAAATATTATTGCCCAAATAAAACACAACTTTTAATCTTTACCCTTATATCTCCATGTCAATTGGGCCTACTGCCTTTAAACATATATTTTTCTTCTCACTTACTTAGCGTCAAGGTATTATAAAAGGTAGAGTTTTGAGATTCATAAAACATATTAAATACTAATATCAAAAGATTTAGAAGAATAATTTTTGAAATTTATAAAAATAGAAATAAACATAAATTATAAATTAGAACATTTTGTGAGAAAATTGGACTATTTCGTCTAACTTTAAATAACTATGTTATGCCGTAAGAGAAATATAAGTTTTTGAAAGATTAATTATGATCAAATTTATCATGAATAAATCATGAATATACGCATAAAGTTTTTACTGTTTGATCATTAATTTAACGGTATTGATCATAAATATAAGATGAATTGATCAATAATAATTGATCATTAATTGTTCATGAATTGAGCTTAAATTTATTACTGGTTGATCCTGGAATTTTTCATAAGTTGATCGTAAAATAATAATGAATTTACACTAGTTGATTAGGAATTTCTCATTAAATAATCAATAATTTATCATAAATTGATCATAATTTTACCATGAATTTAATAATGGTTGATCATTAATTTGTCAGAATTGACCCTAAAAATAAATGAGTTTTGTCACTATATCTTTGCAACCTTTGTTGCACTAAATCTCTTATATTTCAAACTAATATCATTTGATCTGACAGGATTCATAGTTTGAAATATCTAAGGTTTACGACGTTATATTGCAAAAATATTGCGATTTTAAAAGACTCATTCCTTCCAGATTTATCATGAACTTATCACTGCTTTATCACTAATTGATCACTTATTGATCGCTGCTTTATCACTGATAAATCTTAAATTGATCATAAATTAACCATGAATTGATCACTGATATATCTTGAATTGATCAAAAAGTAACCATGAATTGATCAGTAATTTATCATGAATTGATCAGTGATTTATCATGAATTAATCATAAATGAACCATGAATTGATCACTGATTTATCATTTATACATCTTGAATTGATCATTAATAGATCCCTGATTAATCATGATATTCTATCGATCTCTGTTTCAATGTAAGCTGGGTTATCTTGATGATTATATTGATGATTAGGATTGTCTGCAGCATGTTCTGGAAGTTGATGCATCACAACTTCATCAGTAACATGAATAGTACTAGCATTACTCGCACCAACCATATCCTTCGCCTGGAACAGATTTGAAACATAAGTTTCATGAAACCTTTAATTTAACATAATGTTAAACCTCATGATCAGGGGGGGGGGGGGGTTTCCCCCCTTCGTTATAACTTAAAAACGGCTTATACTAGAACTGCTCAAACTTCTTCACTTTTTTAACTTCGTAGTTGTGAACAAATTTTCAACTTTTTTTGATGCATATGGTAGACTATCAGTCAAACGACGATTTTACCATTAAAATAAGAGGTCTAACTTACCATTAAAATAAGAGGTCTAATTTACCATTAAAATAAGAGGTCTAATTTACCATTAAAATAAGAGGTCTAATTTACCATTAAAATAATAAAAAGATAATACGGGGAAAAATGTAATTAGTAGGGAATAAAAAGATAATACGGGGAAAAATGTAATTAGTAGGGATATAAAGTTATACCGGGTGTATAAAGTAAGGAGTAGGGATATAAAGTTGCACCTGGGGTATAATGTAAAGAGTATGGATAAAAGTTGTTCCTGGGGTATAATGTAATGAGTAGGGATATAAAGTTGTACCTCGGGTATAATGTTATGAGTAGGTATATAAAGTTGTACCTGGGGTAAAATGTAATGAGTAGGTATATAAAGTTGTTCCTGGGGTATAATGTTATAAGTAGGTATATAAAGTTGTACCTGGGGTATAATGTAAAGAGTAGGGATATAAAGTTGTACCTGGGTTATAATGTAAAGAGTAGGGATATAAAGTTGTACCTCGGGTATAATGTCATGAGTAGGCATATAAAGTTGTACCTGGGGTATAATGTAAAGAGTAGGTATATAAAGTTGTACCTGGGGTATAATGTAAAGAGTAGGTATATAAAGTTGTGCCTGGGGTATAATGTAAAGAGTAGGTATATAAAGTTGTACCTGGAGTATAATGTAAAGAGTAGGGATATAAAGTTGTACCTGGGGTATAATCTAAAGAGTAGGTATATAAAGTTGTACCTGGGGTATAATGTAAAGAGTAGGTTTCGTTTTCAAAAACGATCGTTTGTAAAAACGACCCACCCGTTTTGAACTTTTAGAAAACGAATAGCGATCGTTTTTGAAAACGATCGTTTTTATTTAAACGATTTAAGACCGTTTTTTATACGATTGTTTCTTTAAAAAACGATTTTTTTATTGACAATTATGTTAACGATCGTTAACGAAAGGTCGTCGTTAACGATCGTTAACGAAGGGTTGTCGTTAACGATCGTTAACGAAATGACGAACTTTATCAAAACGGTTGTTTTTGGGAAAAAAATTACTTGCAACTTTATTGAATGTCGTCTTACATGAAGTTTAACAGTTGTTGGGGAGTTAAAACTCCTTTATATTTTCTTTAAAACTACTCAATGATAAGTACAGATGCTCTTCAGGTCGGTTTTCTCTCTTCGTTAACGATCGTTAACGAAGGTCCGTCGTTAACGATCGTTAACGAGGAGTTAACGTTAAAAAAACGACGAATTTTATAAAAACGATCGTTTTGAAAAACGAGCGTTTCGTTTTCGATATTTCGTCGTCGTTATCATAACGAAACGATCGTTTTTCTGAAAAATGAAAAATTTAACATACCTAGTTGTACCTGGGGTAAAATGTAATGAGTAGGGATATAAAGTTATACCTGCGCGAGTGTGAAGACAATCTCTTCATCGTTTGGTATAAAATCTAGAGAAGGATAATCCCAGCTCGGATTATGAATCTAAATAATAATAATTTATATTATTTATTTATTTATATAAATGTTTGCTATATATAGATTAACGAGTTATAACAGATAGAACACTAGATGTCGCCTTTTCAATATTAAGGGGTGTTTCGTTCACAATAATCCTGAGACAGAACCCAAAAGAAGATAAGCGCATGCTCCAGAGAGAGAGCGTGTTCTACACCGCATGCGCGTATTTTCATTGGGCTCAAGCCTCAGAGTTATTGTGCACGAAAAACCCCTAAATCGTCCAAAGACGACATCTTGTGTTCTATCTGTTATCGTTAATTAATCTATGTGTTTGCTATATGTATAGCTGGATAAACGGCTGGACTAAATCACGTTTTACTATGAAGTAAATTTTACGTAATATTGTAATCTAAGGCTCGGATTATTAATATAAATAATTATAATATCTACTTCAGTGAGAACCAGAAAACTGTAGAATAGGAAGACGACATTATAGCAATACTTTAGTGTATTTGATGTTTTACTAGTATAACTCGTTAAGTTGAATTTGTTGTATTCACTGCACAATGGTTACTGAACTATCTAAAGTCATATCTTATGTCTAATAGTCGATCGTCTTCTTATTCCATAGTTTTCTGGCTCTCACTGTATAGCTTCAGCTAAATTATACAATTTTAATATTGAGCTACGAAAAAAATGAAAGATCATGTTAAATCACGTTAAACTAAAGAAAATTATATTTTAATACTATCTCCTCTTATTGAAGATATGTAGAAGTGCAAAATGTTTTGAATTTCTAATATGTATTCTAATATTCTAATATGTATAATGTAACCAGATAAATTTGCTTTTCTTAAACTCGTACGTAAAATCAAAATTTGAGAAGGTACGAGTTCACAAAATCGTAACAGTAATATCGCATAAAGGAATTGAGTCTTTGCCACAAACTCAAATTTTCTAATACCTATATCTCTACAACCAGATAATGTAAACCTTTGATATTTCAAACTTAGATTATTTGATCCATCAGAATTCATGGTTTGAAATAACTAAGGTCTACGACACATGGGTTGTGAAGATATAGGGATTAATAAAACAGAGTTTGTGACAAAGACTCAATTCCTTTGATCTTCTCCTTCTGTCAGTGTAAAATAATAAATAATATCTTTTTAGAAAAAAAGATTGTGTTAAAAAACAAGTTAGAGTTCAATTTAAAACAAAATAAACTTTTTTAAAGTGTTAGTAAATTAAGCTAATTAAGTTATTTGTAAAAGAGAGAACAATTTAAAACTTTTTGTTTAAAATCTACAAAAATAGTACCTCTCCCTCGGGAACCCCGTCAACTACATCACAGTGATAATCTCCCTGAAAGAAAAATGGCTGAATCAGAAATTATCCAAAATGATGATGAGACATTTTTTGAATAACTTTTAAAAATCAGATTTTGTAAAGAATTGGAAGAAATTATAAAAATTAATGGAAAATAATTGAAGATATCAGAAAATATCAATCAATTATTTAGAAATGTCAGAAATAGAAAGAAAACAATGGGAAATATCAGTAATTGAATTTATACCAAATCATCCAAACATACCAGAAATATTTGGTAATTACCTTTTCACAAATGCATAATTTGAATGCAGTGTATGCTGCCAATGCAACGAGTAGTGCAGCTAATAATGCACCAAGCACTGCAGCTGCAATACCAGTACCGGATATACCTTAGATGATAATAATAATGATATGAGATATTTCAGATTAGCTAGCTGTAATAGCTGGAAATATTTCAGATTCGCTAGCTGTAGTAGCTGGAAATATTTCAGATTAGCTAGCTGTAATAACTGGAAATATTTCAGATTAGCTTACTGTAATAGCTGGAAATATTTCAGATTAGCTAGTTGTAATAGCTGTAAATATTTCAGATTAGCTAGCTGTAATAGCTGTAAATATTTCAGATTAGCTAGCTGTAATAGCTGGAAATATTTCAGAATAGCTTGCGGTAATAACTGGAAATATTTCAGATTATATAGCTGTAATAACTGGAAATATTTAAGATTAGCTAGCTGTAATAGCTGGAAATATTTCAGATTAGCTAGTTGTAATAGCTGTAAATATTTCAGAATAGCTTGCGGTAATAACTGGAAATATTTCAGATTATATAACTGTAATAACTGGAAATATTTAAGATCAGCTAGCTGTAATAGCTGGAAATATTTCAAATAAGCTAGCTGTAATAGCTGGAAATATTTAGGATTAGCTAGCTGTAATAGCTGGAAATATTTCAGATTAGCTAGCTGTGAAAGCTGTAAATATTTCAGATTAGCTAGCTGTAATAGCTGGAAATATTTCAGATTCGCTAGCTGTAATAGCTGGAAATATTTCAAATAAGCTTACTATAATAGCTGGAAATATTTCAGATTAGCTAGCTGTAATAACTGGAAATATTTCAAATAAGCTTACTATAATAGCTGGAAATATTTCAGATTAGCTAGCTGTAATAGCTGGAAATATTTCAGATTAGCTAGCTGTAATAGCTGGAAATATTTCAGATTAGCTAGCTGTAATAGGTGGAAATATTTCAGATTAGCTAGGTAAAATAGTTGGAAATATTTCAGATTAGCTAGCTGTAATATCTGGAAATATTTCAGATTAGCTAGCTGTAATAGGTGGAAATATTTCAGATTAGCTAGGTGTAATAGCTGGAAATATTTTAGATTAGCTAACTGTATTTAGCTGGAAATATTTTAGATTAGCTAGCTGTAATATCTGGAAATATTTCAAAATACTGATAAATCTGATAAGCTCAGGACCCCCTGTATCAGATTCTGATAAGCTCAGGACCCCCTGAATCGGATTCTGATAAGATTTACAATGATTGCCTAAGATTATGACTATGACAAGGAAAGTCGTCGTTACCAACACACAGCTCTGTTATCTCACATCTAGAAAATTAAAAAAATATGTGTCAAACCCTGCTTTAACATGAAATTAAACCACTCAACAAACAGAAAAAGTCCAATATATCTATATTTTTTCCTACAGCAATGATTGAAGTGTCCTATTTATTGTATTCCTATCTATGTTAAAGTGTCCTATCTATGGTTAAAGTTTCCTATCTATATTATACCTATATCTATGGTTAAAGTGTCCTATCTAAAGTATACCAATATCTATGGTAGAAGTGTCCTATCTAAAGTATACCTATATCTATGGTTGAAGTGTCCTATCTATAGTATACCTATATCTATGGTTGAAGTGTCCTATCTATAGTATACCTATATCTATGGTTGATGTGTCCTATCTATAGTATACCTATATCGTGTCCTATCTATAGTATACCTATATCTATGGTTGAAGTGTCCTATCTATATAATACCTGCATGTTGAAATATTGAATGCTGTGAAGGGAGGACAAGTGCATCTATCCCTGCAGATAAAACTTATCAAATAAAAGTGTTTTATTATAAAAATTTACAAAGTTCAGTTATTGCATGGGTTTCCATATTTCCAGAAATTATTTTCGCAGAGCTTATTTCGATCATTTTCGCGATACGCGAACCATCCTTTTAACGAATTTCGAAATATTTTTGTGAAATTTCGTTTGCTGTCATCATTGACGAAAATTTTGAGGTGGCGTTAGAAATCTTGTAGCATTTACATTTCTAGCAATTATGCTTCTAGCAAAAATATTTGCAACGTAACTATAATAAATTATTGATACTTGATTAGTTGTATCCCTGTGACAGATCATATTTGAATTTGAAGGATAACAGTCTTCGATATTTTCACAGCTTAGCTCTTGCAGGGAGCTGACATCTAACTTCAAGGAAATATCCTGAAATATGGAGAAATTAGTTTCAAGGAAACATCCTGAAATATGGAAATATTATTTTCAAGGAAATATCCTGAAATATGGAGAAATTAGTTTCAAGGAAAAATTCTGAAATTTGGAGAAATTAGTTTCAAGGAAATATCCAGAAATATGGAGAAATTAGTTTCAAGGAAATATCCTGAAATACGGAGAAATTAGTTTCAAAGAAAAATTCTGAAATTTGGAGAAATTAGTTTCAAGGAAATATCCTGAAATTTGGAGAAATTAGTTTCAAGGAAATATCCTGAAATACGGAGAAATTAGTTTCAAGGAAATATCCTGAAATATGAAGGAATACGTTTCATAGAAATATCTGAAATATGTAGAAATTTAATTTATTCTGAACATGTGAACTGTGTTTCTGAATAGTTTAGTTTTGAACATATTTACCTTTGAACAAAATGTTCCTGAACATGTTAACTGTGTTTCTGAACAGTTTAGTTTTGTACATATTTACATTTGAACAAATTGTTTCTAAACATGTAAACTATGTTTCTGAACTATTTAGTTTTGAACATATTTACCTTTGAACAAATTGTTCCTGAACATGTGAACTGTGTTTCTGAACAGTTTAGTTTTGAACATATTTACATTTGAACAAATTGTTTCTGAACGTGTGAACTGTGTATCTGAATAGTTTAGTTTTGAACATATTTACCTTTGAACAAATTGTTCCTGAACATGTGAACTGTGTATCTGAACTGTTTAATTCTGAACATGTTGAGAGAAAATCTCCAGCTCTGCCAACAATTTCAGTTTACGTCATCAATCAAATTTTAGAATAAAAGTTAAATTAGTTTTTTAAAGAGACTAGAATTAATAGAGGATTTTCTTGAGCAGTTTGTTTTGGAATTGAGAATTGGAGAACTTATAACTGAAAAGTATTTTATCCGATGCATTTCTTACCAAATTAAAGTATTTTTTTAACACACATTTAAATCTACATATTTTATCAAAGAAAGAAACCCAGACGAAGGGGGGGTGGGAGTGTAGAAGTAAAAAAAAACGCCACCCAAACGTGTTTCGATGAATGTGCGCTCCTCAATTGGTATTCAGAAATAAAAAAGTTAACATTAAACCTTATTACTTCTTAGAAAGAAGGCCATATTGACCTCTGTTAATAGCCATATGGTGTACAATATTCTTAAAGCTTTCTTTATAGCTCCTTACTTTCGAAAATAAATCTTTAAATATGCCACATGAAGCGCTAGAAATAAAATTACGTTTTTGAACCTTTGCGCACGCGCGCTCCAATGAAGCGCTATAAATAATTATTGAATTTAATACTTAATTTTCAATGGTTGCGCACTTGAAGATTTACTTTCGAAACTTAGGAGGAGCGAAGAATATTGTACACCATAGGCTATTAACAGAGGTCAATATGGTCATATTTCTAAGAAATAAACGGTTTAATGTTAACTTTTTTATTTCTGATTACCAATTGAGGTTGTGGAGATTACCAATTGAGGAGTGCAAATGCCGAAAAACACGTTTGGGTGGCGTTTGTTTACTTCTGCCCTCCCCCCCCTCCCCAGACAGGCGAAACCCCACTACCTCTAAAAAATTGAGATTTTTAAAAAAATATATATTTATTCCCGAAAGAAATTACATTATAGTAGGGACTAGGGAGACGTTTTTTAAAAATTTAATTTCTTTTAATAACACATTTGATAAAAATTCGTAAAATATGGCATAATTCCTAGTTTGATCGGAGTAAACTTTTGTGAAGAATAAATAAAGGGAAGGTAAGCATAAGCTCAAGCAGCCTTCCATACATTGTAACAATGCCAATTCACAACGGTACCCTTAAAACCTTTATCTGATCAATAATGTTAAAGGTATTGTAGTTTTAATATAGGTTTAAAAGTGTTTAATTCTGATAATTCCTATCTGTTTTCCTCCAGAGAAAGACGCAAATAACTTGTGTAGAAAACTCACAATTAAAAATAATCTGTTTTCAAGATTAGAAAAATTGATATATAATTATAATTCATACTTGATCCGACAAAGCTTTTAAGGGTATCATTGTGAATCGCGCAGGCATTGGCATCTTTGTAAGGAGGGTTAATTGAAAGTACGCTTCCTTTAAATCAAATCAAAACAGAGAGGCATCCTACCAACCACTATCCACCTTTATCCTAATAGAGAAAAGTAGTTAACTACCGATATTGAGATAAACACTTTTCATTAGTAAATTCCAATTGTTTTTATTTTTTTGAATTAGTTGTTTGTAAACCATTCCTTGTTGCTGTATCAAAATATGAGTGTACTGCATGAAAACAACCAATCAATAAAAACAATAACAAGTTCTTCATGATGTTTGTTTACAAATTCTTCGTCACAGCCTAGCAGGGTCTTTGGTGTACATATCGTGCAGTACAATTCAAACTTTACATAATGTACATCTGAAAGAAAAAAATGTAAATAATATAAAATCTTAATATAGTTAAAAATACTATTGTTATGTTTCTTAAAATTGGACTATCTCTTGAGTCTAACAGATGTATTTCTTTTCCAAAGTTTTATGGGTGCCACTGTATGATTAAAGTAAATACCTAAACATCTTCCATCTTCAAAACCCCTCCCTTTACAGCAGAAAATAATATTGATTGCTATCACTTCAAACTATAAACTTCATGATTACATTATTCTTTTGAAACGTGTTGAAACGTGTTAGCATTTTAACAAGAGCAAAATATAGTTTATCCCAACAATAGTTAGTTTTTTTCAACCGTCAGTATTCTTTTAACTTTTCCCTTTCTCTATCAAGGGGGGGGGGTTGAAACCATACCCCCCTAATATACACTTCTTACATAAAAATCTAACTCTGTTACCAGTATACTCGAGTACCACCCCTTTTGTAATAACAAACAAAATCAATTAAATATGACTCTCTCCGTACTTTTAGAGAGGGTGGGAAAATTTAACGAAACATATGAAAACCTTGTTTTACAAATCCTCGTCAGAAGGATCAAAGCAAGCGGACAATATTAATATATGATCGATCACTAGATATATTAAGAGAATAATAACGTTTATAGATATGTTGAATAACTTATACACAGATACTCACTACAGTGCACTTCCTACTTTAACCTGCACCATTTAACTGTTTTTTCAATTTTGGAGGCAAGAGAAATTCTTAATGCTACTCACAATTACTGATATGCAGCGTTTTCAAAGATTAAAATGTTTTAGACTTCCACCAAGAAGTTTCACATGAATCTGATATGTGAATTCTATTTTTAGACTATCAAGAGGGTTCATATGAATCTGAGATGTGAATCATATTTTAGACTATCAAGAGGCTTCACATGAATCTGAGATGTGAATCTTAATTTAGACTATCAAGAGGCTTCACATGAATCTGAGATGTGTATCCTATTTTAGACTATCAAGAGGCTTCACATGAATCTGAGATGTGAATCCTATTTTAGACTACCAAGAGGCTTCACATGAATCTGAGATGTAAATCCTATTTTAGACTATCAAGAGGCTTCACATGAATCTGAAATGTGAATCCTATTTTAGACTATCAAGAGGGTTCACATAAATCTGAAATGTGAATCCTATTATAGACTATCAAGAGGCTTCACATGAATCTGAGATGTGAATCCTATTTTTAGACTATCAAGAGGCCGGCTTCACACGAATCAGAGATGTGAATCCTATTTTAGACTACCAAGAGGCTTCACAAGAATCTAAGATGTGAATCCTATTTTAGACTACCAAGAGGCTTCACATGAATCTTAGATGTGAATCCTATTTTAGACTACCAAAAGGCTTCACATGAATCTGAAATGTGAATCCTATTTTAGACTACCAAAAGGCTTCACATGAATCTTAGATGTGAATCCTATTTTAGACTACCAAGAGGCTTCACATGAATCTTAGATGTGAATCCTATTTTAGACTACCAAGGGGCTTCACATGAATCTGAAATGTGAATCCTAATATAGACTATCAAGAGGCTTCACATGAATCTGAGATGTGAATCCTATTTTTAGACTATCAAAAGGCTTCACATGGATCTTAGATGTGAATCCTATTTTAGACTATCAAGAGGCTTCACATGAATCTGAAATGTGAATCCTATTTTAGACTATCAAGAGGCTTCACATGAATCTGAGATGTGAATCCTATTNGATAGATAGATAGATAGATAGATAGATAGATAGATAGATAGATAGATAGATAGATAGATAGATAGATAGATAGATAGATAGATAGATAGATAGATAGATAGATAGATAGATAGATAGATAGATAGATAGATAGATAGATAGATAGATAGATAGATAGATAGATAGATAGATAGATAGATAGATAGATAGATAGATAGATAGATAGATAGATAGATAGATAGATAGATAGATAGATAGATAGATAGATAGATAGATAGATAGATAGATAGATAGATAGATAGATAGATAGATAGATAGATAGATAGATAGATAGATAGATAGATAGATAGATAGATAGATAGATAGATAGATAGATAGATAGATAGATAGATAGATAGATAGATAGATAGAATTTAAATAAATGGACTTACGATTTGCAAAAAAGGATGTCTTGCAGTATTAATACAATTCCGTTGATACATGTAAGTAATAAAGCTCCCTGCTCATTATTATATATTTCTATGTTTGCAATAGCTGGCCAAACGGCGGAACCAAAAACAAGATTTTTAATCTTAATTTTAGATTCACAAAAATTGTTTTTATTTTGCCCAGGTGGGTTAGATAAAAAAAATTGTTAAAAAGGAGGGCTGTGGATTGTACCAACTGATTTCAAAAAGAAAATTGAAAACAAAATTATTGTTGTGGTCTGGGCAAGGTTCTCACGGAGGGGTACACATTTTTAAATTTTTTTTTAATGCTAATTTAATTTTAGATTGCTCCAAAAGTACTGATCGATGATCCAAAATTTTAGTTTAAAAAAAAAACCTTAGATTAATAGTTTATGATTAAAAAATTACGAAAATCTTTTTAATTTTTTCATACAATTTATGAACGAATGAAAATGAGATGTGAAAAATCGACTTACTCTCCAAGAAGTATGAAGATTTTAAGGAAAAAATTAACACCATAAAATAACTAAAATACAGAGCTTTCTAACAACACCTTGATTGTAAAAATTGAACGAAAATTGTTTCTTAGCAATATTCCTACTGCATAGTTTAGAAACATGAAAACATTCAAATCCCATAATCTAGTTCCGAATTTACCAGATTTTTCCAAAACTCAAACAAATTTCCCGAAAAAAATACTCTGCTATTTCTGGAAAGTTTCATGAATCTCTTGTATTGGAGAATTTATTCAGGGGGCGTAAGATGGGAAAGAGGGGGGGGGGTGAAAATGCCGACGCCCCCTCCCCCCTCTCCTATTATCCTGTAGTGACGCAAAAATTACGATCTGAATGAATGTGACGTAATGGAATTATAGTTTGATTTAAGTTCGGATCTAATTTCTGATCTAAATATTTTCAATAACCTCGGCCGACGGCCATGGAAGCATATGGTGTACATTTAATCAGCTGAAATTACGTATAATACCTTCAAGTTAATGTAGCAAAAGGGGGAGAACAAATAGCAAAGAAGTCTTAGTTTAACCTTAATGTCGTCATATTTTTAGAGTCTTTTCAGTCTACTGCTTTGTGGGTAACCACTAACCATGGTAACAATCTACTGAAATTATGTCGTATTTGACAAAGTAATCATAATTTATTTAAACTTTTCACTCTCATTTAAGATGTGTTGGGGTACCGCGAAGTTGTGGAAATTGCTTCGCAATTTTTAACAAAGCAGAGAAAACCATGAGAAAGCATTAAAAAAAAAGACATGGAACCCTTTAAATACATTGATTTAAGGTTTTATGTTTTTTTGTAACCCTCTGAACGGGATTATACAACTTAATTTTTTTTTTCCTGATCTTAACATAACTAACTTAGTGTATATTTTCAAAAAAAACAACTCGTAAATTTGGGAGTTTTTATTAGTTTAACCCTAATATACTTTTTAAAGACATTTAAACCGCTATAGCAGTTAGACTCCAGAGAAGACTGTACGGAATTAATACCGTCTATCTGTTTCCTAATACTAATGGTTTTGTACAACTGCAGACTTGTTTCTTTCCTTATTAAATCCTTAAATAAGATTTTAAATAACTATATTTAAGACAGAATTGACTTAATTTAACATCATAAAATCGTCATATTTGAAGAGTTTCATATCGTATTTACAGTCTCATCCTTTCAGGGAATTTGTCATTTGTCCTATTTTTTATGTACAGGACTACCGTTAAAGATGAGACTATAAAGAAGACCTGAAACTCTTTAATTGTGACGATTCCAAGGTTGAATTAAGTTTTCTGCTTTAACTACAGTGAACCCCTTAATAACAAATACATCGAAAGAATTCATCAAATGTCGTATTATTCACTTTCTGATAATGAAATGTTGCAGATTTTAGTTTTTTAATTAAATGATTATATGGAACTCTTTAAAACTGTTCCCGCATATTCATGGCTATTTATTTATTTTCGCAAATACTGAAATTTACGTAATTTAGTATAAAACTCATTGAAAAATTGTCAATACGACATTTATAAATTCTTCCGATGTATTCGTTGTTAAGGGTTTCACTGTATAGTAATTATTAATTACTATTTATCATTATTATTATTATTACTATTATTATCATTATGATAATTAATTTTTTAATGATTTAAAAGAACGGACCAAGTTTGAAGTTGCAGGAAATCATGAATATTAGGGAACTCTTGACAGTTTTTGTACTGTCGTCTCTGAACTCTGTTTACAGGTTAACCTTGCATGCAGAAATAAACTGAAACCTACTAACATGAACATATATAAAATAATACGCAGATTATGTATCCTTTTTTAGCTTGCGCTGAAATTAAGATATGTAAAAATTATAATAACTGATTGTATTTCAGATTTTTTACTCCCAACGGACAGTATAGCTATTCATATAAATAGCATAAATGTTTGAAAAGTTCAGATATGACCTGTACTTACATTCAGGCAAGAAATCGTCAATCTAGAAGGACAGAAAATGAATTGAACCGCATGTTGGTGCATGTTTGATACTCAAGTTAAAAAGAAATTTTAATTTAATCTTTTTCATGGCGTCAAGGACATGCCTGATCTTTACAACAAATATACACTCGATAGATCTCTATTCTTTTTTTAGAGATGTACATAATTTGAATTCTAATAAAGATGAAATAAAGAGTTCTCTTGAGTGTCGCTTTGTTGCAAAACATAATCTTAAGGCAAGAAAAAAAAGGCGATATAATAAAATATATCATTAAAATTAGGTAAGGCAGCAAAATATTATTATTTAAATAGTGAGGCGGAACGGGTTTACTTTGCTCTAAGTCACGGTATTCCATACTACTTTTGTGGAAAGACGACATTTCAGGAACTTTTTGAAGTTTTTGTTGTTTTTGACGTTTTCAATATTTATTGCTTAAAAATCAACTTGTGAAATAGGCCTGTGTGAACTACACATTTCTGTGTTTCATGATTATTGTAAAATATTAAATCGTAACATTAAGTCTTAACAGTCGTCTTCCAATTCTAGTTTATATGAGTCCTGTTTTAGACAATATTTTTGTCCTTTTTATGATGATTTTTTGCGTTTAGGTTATTAGAGAATTTATTCGTAAAAAATGCAGGTATTTATAACCTAAGATTAACACTTCTTATTAAAGCCAGGGGGGGAGGGTAAGAAGTAAGTGTATTTAGGTTTTTTAGGACATGATAGTTTTCTGACAATTTCTCAAGTGGCAACGTTCCAAAAGACCGAAGTCCTGAACGAAACTAATTTTATAAAAAAAATTTGCATTAAGGAAAAAACCATTTGAAAGCATTTATAGTCCCTTTAAAAACTGTTTAAATGAACATTTTACATTTACATTCTTCAATCGAATTCAAATACAATTTTTTTCAGTTTTTGTTGGACATCCGAGGTTTCAGCTGATACACACTGGGCAACCAACAGGTACATTACAGGGTGTCTCAAAAATAAGTGGATCAAAAAATGACAATTTATTCGTAATTTTTTCACTAAGACATTTTTTACACAACTAAATTAGGATTAAAAAGACATGAGAAATTTGTTCCAAAATAAAATCATAATTTTCGTTTCTAATAGTATTTAATAGATTAAATTTTTATTATCAAGGAAACGAAATCTTTTAAAAAGTGTTAAAAATCTGACTAGACAGTATTTGAGCTGAGAATAGCTTTGTAGAAAATTATTTTTAGGATTCATTTGAGATTTTTTTTTAATTATTCAAGAATTACGACAAAAAAGGAAACAAATGTTTTGAAACATATTTATCAATTGAAACAAATTTGTCCATAAATCTATGTTATAAAATCAAGTATTTCTTTTCCATTATTATATTGAATTTTTTTATTCTTTACGAAATTGTTCGCAGATTTCTTCAAAGTCTTTTCAATAAATATTCTAGGAAATCTACATATAGAAAATGTTACAAAAACCAATAACTGAATAAGATTACTTAATTTCGATGAAAAGCGTAAATTTTTATGTTCTCAATCTGTTCCTAAACAATTAATTAATTTACTGCAGAATGTTTTAAAAAAATTTTCGTGGTCCTCATTGAAAAATAAAAAAAAAATTCTCAAAATCATCCTTCTAAAATGAACAATCTGTGAGGATTTTAAAGGGACTGTAAAGGAATGAAAGACAGATAGGAACATCATATAAAACTTTCATGGGTCACGATCAAGAGCTAAAGTGATTAGCTTTCAGCCTATACCCCCTTTCATTTTTCCTTTACAGTCCCTTTAAGGATTGAATTTACGCTCTTGCTGAACAAATATGCACCGTAAAAACGTCTTGACTGGTCTCAAATAAATTCTAAAAAATGTCTTACAATACTGCATTCTCATGTCTAGCCAGACACTCCCTTTAGGAAAACTTTGCAGTACCTTTGTAATTTAGTCTTATATTGTTTTGTATTTAAATACAAATACGTTAGCGTCATAAAATGGTTATGCAGGAGGTGGGGGTGGTGGGGGTGAGGGAGTCTTCAATATGCAGGTAGTGGGAGGTGGGAGTGGGGGGAGGGTGTCTTCAATATGCAGGAGTTGGGGGGGGGGGGGGGGTGTCTTCAATGTGTGATCACATTTTTTACAGAAGGAGTTTAATCAGTTCGTAAAAATAGACGTTACATTTCTTTTTCGAAGTGTATATTTTTTTTCAGCCCAAAGAGCTTGAAAGGTGGCCATGATGAGAAGGGTGAGATCGATGAGAAGAAAGAGGAGAAGGGTGAGAATGATGAGACCTTGGATGAAAAATGTTCAATGTCGGACAGGAACTCTAAAAGTTTGAATATTCTAACAAGTACACGAATATATGATGAAGATGCTCCGGAAGATTTTGACGATTCTAACAATCCAGATTTCAGGTAAAATTGAAATATATGAATACTTATAGCTTGAGAACCCAGTGTACTCAATAGTTACTGCCACCATTTACCCGCGCTTGGTCATTTTTGATTTAGGAAATTCATTTAAATTTTTTAGTTTGGCAGACATCTGATTTGATTTAAAATTACGATTTCAAGTTGACCCATTTATCTTAGAATCTTAAAACCAAGTTGAGAACATTCCCGTTGTTCTCCCGAGTTCTCCAAATAAAATTTGAGGCAAATCAGTCAAGGGGTTTATGAGTTATGATCGAACATACAAACAGACAAACAGATATTACAAATTATATATAAATGATAACACTGGATACAATAGATGTAAAAATGTTTGGAAAATTTCGCAGACTAAACATTTTTATCGTTCATAACTAATCATTATGCTAATTTATCGTTCATAACTTATCATTATGCTAATTTATCGATAATAACTAATCATTATGCTAATTTATCGTTCATAACTAATCATTATGCTAATTTATCGTGCATAACTAATCAATTATGCTTATTTATTTAAGAATTCTTCTTCCTTTAATCTCTTATGCTTAAAGGGTACCGTTGTCAATCAAACAGGACACTTTAAAAATTAAGAGTCACTTAAAAAAACGTTTGCAGTTATGTTAGGTGTTCCAGTGTTAAAACTGTTCCATTTACAATTTTATTTTAGGTGTTCCCGGGTACAAACTGTTGCATTTTTATCCTGTTTTTAGGTGTTCCCGGGTTCAAACCGTTCCATTTCTAATTTTATTACAGGTATTCCCGAGTTCAAACTGTTGCATTTTTATCCTTATTTTAGGTGTTCCCGGGTTCAAACCGTTCCATTTCTAATTTTATTTCAGGTATTCCCGAGTTCAAACTGTTGCATTTTTATTCTTATTTTAGGTGTTCATGGGTTCAAACCGTTCCATTCATTTCTATCCTTATTTTAGATGTTCCCGGGTCCAAACCGTTCCATTTATAATTTTATTTCAGGTGTTCCCGGGCACAAACTGTTGCATTTTAACATTTTTCTGAAAATTAATTTTGTCTACTGCAGTAAAATTGACACTTGTGGACGGACTTCTAGCTGTAGTGAAAACGCGTAATGTTTAAGGGACTGTAGACATGATTGATTGTGACAGTGGCCAAGATGGTAATGCCCGATTCACGACCGTACTTTATAAACCTGAATCCGATCAATATTGTGGAAAATGTTGTCGTTTTCTTAGGTTTAAACGTGTTTAATTCTGACGTTTACTAAATGCTTTCAGAATCTATGCCAGAAGTTCACAGGAAAAAAGTTTCTGAAAAAACCTGGAAATAAAAACTTTGTTTAAAAGTCCCAATTTTCTGAAGTCCTCGGACAAATTTCACTGGAAATAAAGTCCTGAGGTTTAGATTCCTGGAACTTATTTTCCTAAAATAATATGGGGGCTGGCTAATAAAGTCTCAGGAAATAAGATCATAGACAAAAAGTGATAAGTGTTGGAAAAAAGTGGTTAAGTCTTAGACGTTATCATAAAAAGGACTTTTCTTCAATGCATCTGCATTTTGAATATACCCAAGGGTGTTTTCCCATGGTTGTAAACATCCTTTGTTCCCTGTAGTTTTCACTTTTTATAAAATTATACTGGAACCAGAAAAAAGTCTTAGAAATGAAGTCTCAAAATGGTAGTACTTACTTCCGAAGTAAAAATGCTTAATTTCAATTTTGTAGCGAAACTACATTAAGAAATAATCTGTGTTCAAAATTGTAAGTTCATTGATCCTTAATTCATTCTTGGTCAGAAAAGTTTTTCAGGATTCCGTTGTGAATTGGTATTGCCATTTTTGCATGGACTGTCCCATTGCGATAACAGCACCTTTAATTATTGTTTATTTAACAAGTGCAAAAGGTGATTTATTACAATGGTTTTAATGAGAGAGATGATGGATAAAAAATCTTCAATAAGTATTTTAAATTTCAAATGTAATAGACTTTTTCAAAAAATAAATCGTTGTTTTTTGAGCAAAACAGTATAGCTGAAAAATATCAATAAAAGAGATAAACCATTTGGTTGAATACGTTCTTCAGATAAAAGTTTCCAGAGGGTTTTCAATATTTGATCAATGGATTAGTTTAACAATTCTTCAGATAAAAGTTTCCAGAGGGGTTTTAATATTTGATCAAGGGATTAGTTTAACAATTCTTCAGATAAAGGTTTCCAGGGGTTTATAATATTTGATCATGGGATTAGTTTAACAATTCTTCAGATAAAGGTTTCCAGAGGGTTTATAATATTTGATCAAGGGATTAGTTTAATAATTCTTAGATAAAGGTTTCCAGAGGGGTTTTAATATTTGATCAAGATTAGTTTAAAATTCTTCAGATAAAGGTTTCCAGAGGGTTTATAATATTTGATCAAGGGATTAGTTTAACAATGCTTCAGATAAAGGTTTCCAGAGGGTTTATAATATTTGATCAAGATTAGTTTAACAATTCTTCAGATAAAGGTTTCCAGAGGGTTTATCCCTTTCATTCTCGTTGAAGGGTTAAAGTCTCGTCGACACCTTTTTTATGATTTCCAGATGTCCTGTTCACAGTACACTATAACCGTTTATCTGAGCAATAATGATAACTATATCGTCGTTTTTTTATTAAAAAAATGTAGTCCAACTTGTCTCTCATGCTACACATGTCAGAAAGTTACTTTATAACGAACCGCAATTTAGAATTATCAATTTTCAATTAAAACGAACAAGGATGTCTTAATCTCCGATGTTCTGGTCTTTAACCAGCTCTGGTAACTCTTGTGTTGGATAATTATTATACTGATCATTTGATCTCAATATCCACTGTGGACACTTTTGATTTGAGGATTAAATAGAACAATTAATCTCTTAATTTCAGTTATTCTCTCAGGGTAGAATTAGATTGCAGATATCGAAGAAAGATTAGATTAATCTGCAGATTAACAACAGGTCGAAATCAAGTCCGAAGAGTCACCAGCTTTGTAATAATATTTCAAGTTTTTAAATACAACTTTTTAAAATTTAATTTGTTTCTAGTCGACCCATTTTTTCTCTCCTCCATCCTGCAACCTTTCAGGTTCTAATCCCGGCCCACCGGCACTTAGGAGGTTGGTAATCATCAGTTTTTTAAGGGATTAGTTCCTAAATTTTAGTCAAGGTTACAAGGAATCTATGCGATATAATTAATCTAAGCTTTTTTTACAATGTTGGGACAATTTTCATACAATCAGATTTTTTCCTAAAACTAAAATATTATTTTGAATTATGATATCTAGGGTTCCAGGATTATTAAAAACTAAAATATTATTTTAAATTATGATATCTAGGGTTCCAGGATTATTAAAAACTAAAATATTATTTTAAATTATGATATCTAGGGTTCCCGGATTATTAAAAAATGCAATATAATTTTGAATTGAGATATCTAGAGTTCAAAGATTATAAAAGAATTGAATATTATTTTGAATTGTGATATCTAGGGTTCCAGGATTATGGAAAACTAAAATATTATTTTAAATTATGATATCTAGGGTTCCCGGATTATTAAAAAATGAAGTATAATTTTGAATTTAGATATCTAGAGTTCAAAGATTATAAAAGAATTGAATATTATTTTGAATTGTGATATCTAGGGTTCCAGGATTATGGAAAACTAAAATAATATTTTGAATTATGATATCTAGGGTTCCAGGATTATTAAAAAATGAAAAATTATTTTGAATTGTGATATCTAGGGTTCCATGATTATGAAAAACTATAATTTTAAATTGAGATATCTAGGGTTCCAGGATTATGAAAAAATTTAATGATATCTAGGGTTCCAGGATTATGAAAAACTAAAATATTATTTTGAATTGGGATATCTAGGGCTAAAAGATTATTAAAAAATGAAAAATTATTTTGAAGGCTAAAAGAAGGTTAAAAGATTATGAACAAGTTGAATATTATTTGAATCATGGATATCTAGGGTTCCATGAAAACGTAAAATTATTTGGAATAATTATGATATCTAGGGTTCCGAGTGTATCTGACTCGGATCTAACGATGCCAGAAATGTCGCAACGTTCTTCAGTTCTCTCACAACATCAGGTTTCTTCTTTAAATACTCGCCATATCTGTTGATGTTTTGTACATATACTTAATATACTTTTTATATGTTTTCACCTTTTGTTTAGGTGTCAACACTGTTTCTATCATTTACGCCCCGGCTCCGCCTCTACCCATGGCATCTATTATTCTCTATTTCAAGGCATTTAAACAAATTTAATAGTTCATACTGTCAAGAGGTGTGGGAGTGGAGGAGGGGGGGGGGGTAGCTGGCAACTTCAATTAAAGAGCAAAGTGTTTGCTCACTAAGTTTATCGGATCTTATCTTAGGATTCAGAGGCTTAGCCGGTATTCATCATTTTGATGGCAAATGCTGTCATTGGCGGGTTCTCTGATTTTAAGACTTTAAGCCCGAAATCTGAAAAGTTTTGTACTTGATATCGAGTTGATCTGCTGAATTCCTAGGCTATCACAAACATCCAGAATAAAATTTTCCAATTTAGTACAAACAAGAAATGGTCGGATTATTGACTTTTCTTTAAAATAATTTTTTTAACTAATGTTCTTCCCAAAAAAAATTGTTGTCAAATATTTTTGTTCAGTAAACATTTTTTTCTTCATTATTATATGATTCAATCATTCAAATTTCTCGTTGATCATTATTCTGCATAATTCTTATTTAATTTTCTCCCTTCCCTCTAAAAGATAACTTTTTCTCTTAAATAATGAATTTTTTTTAATAATTTCTTAATTTTGTTCTGACCGCTGAATCAGCAAATATTAGCTCTACACTCGCATTTTGCTATGGTACCGTATTCTAAAAGAGAAAGTATGATGCACAAGATAAAATATTTTTTTTAAAAATTTTTAATATTTGTTTGTTGATGTGCAGAAACGGATGCAGTTTGGCGAATCTGTATTCGAAACTTGAAAACTATGATTCTACCCTTCTCCTACTCATTCTAGATACAAAGTAGGTATATATTTAGTAGGTATACAAAGTAGGTATATATTTAGTAGGTATACAAAGTAGTTATATAATTAGTAGGTATACAAAGTAGGCACATAATAAGTAGGTATACAAAGTAGGTATATAATATGTGGGTATAAAAAGTAGGTATAGATTAAGTAGGCTTATATTAAGTAGGTATATAATTAGTAGGTATACAAAGTAGGTATACAAAGTAGGTATACAATTAGTAGGTATACAATTAGTAGGTATACAAAGTAGGTATGCAAAGTAGGTATACAATTAGTAGGTATACAAAGTAAGTATATAATAAGTATGTATACAAACTAGGTATATAACTAGTAGGTATACAAAGTAGGTTTATAATTAGTAGGTATACAAAGTAGGTACACAAAGTAGGTATAAAATTAGTAGGTATACAAAGTAAGTATATAATAAGAAGGTATACAAAGTAGGTATATAATTAGTAGGTATACAAAGTAAGTATATAATAAGAAGGTATACAAAGTAGTTAAATAATTAGTAGGTATACAAAGTAAGTATATAATAAGTAGGTATACAAAGTAGTTATATAATTAGTAGGTATACAAAGTAGGTATAGTATACAAAGTAGGTATATATTCAGTAGGTATACAAAGTAGGTATATAATTAGTAGGTATACAAAGTAGTTATATAATTAGTAGGTATACAAAGTAGGTATATAATTAGTAGGTATACAAAGTAGGTATAAAAACATAAATAGTGTCCTAAGAATTGGAGGGAATGGTTCCTAAGTCTTTAAATTTCCAGATTAGAGAACATTACATTTGTCCATGTAATTGTAATTGTAGAGTAACCGATTTATTGAGCCCCAATCTAGACTTGAAAGTTTCTAATTCAAGTGCCACTGACAATCCAACAGCATGCCGGATTCACAATGGTACCCTTTGAACCGTTAAACACTGAGTACAGAAACGTTAAATTCGTAAATATCCTCTTATGAAATTTAAGCAAGTTGTAAGTAAAAAGGCGCTTTTTTAATGTTTTGATTTTTTTCAATATTTTTCTTTACAAAATGTAGTAATTAAAATTCACTTATGTATAATTTTTTGCTTTTACAAAAGTATATAATATTTTCGATGGTATAGTTTCACCCTTTTATTTTATGATTATTATTTAGAAGAACAGCTTTCGGGGCCTTACTCTCCCCTCCTAATATCAAGCTACAGGTTAAATCTAATATAAAGCTACAGGTCTAATCTAATATTAAGATACAGGTCAAATCTAATATCAAGATACAGGTCAAATCTAATATCAAGATACAGGTCAAATCTAATATCAAGATACAGGTCAAATCTAATATCAAGATACAGGTCAAATCTAATATCAAGCTACAGGTCAAATCTAATATCAAGCTACAGGTCAAATCTAATATCAAGATACAGGTTAAATCTAATATCAAGCTACAGGTTAAATCTAATATCAAGCTACAGGTCAAATCTAATATCAAGCTACAGGTCAAATCTAATATCAAGCTACAGGTTAAATCTAATATCAAGCTATAGGTCAAATCTAATATCAAGATACAGGTCAAACTAAAAGAAAACATTTCTAACAATTAATTTTTCAGGGTAAAAAATATTCCGGAACTCCAGAGACGTTTCTTTTCACATTCTCTCCTAAACTAAGGTTTGTAAATTGGATACAAATTAGGGATTGTCGTCTTCTTGTATCTATTTATCATGAAGTGTCGCTAGGATTGGATAATTTGTAACTGATTTTAAAAATTTGCCAAGAACAATTCTAAGGAAGAATTAAAACAATTACAAATCACAAAATTACAAATAGAACGAATTAGTATACATCTAGCTTTCAGAGGAGCAACAACCGCCGAGTTTTCAATTTGAAATTTTATTCCCCAATAGTAATAAGTGTTTTCAGCTGAAGGTGTTTATTTTCTAGAAAATTCGCAGCATCTGGTGAAAACAATTACTTTATCCAATGTATGCCGGATGGTCTATCAATTGGTTAGTTCATTAGCTTAAATATAAACGGATTATCTTTTCATCTTCTTCCAATATTGACACATGCTAGTTAGTTTATTAGCTTAAATATAAACGGATTATCTTTTCATCTTCTCCCATTATTGACAAAAATTGGTTAGTTTATTAGCTTAAATATAAGCTAATTAGCTTTTCAGCTTCTCCCATTATTGACAAAATTGGTTATTTTATTAGCTTAAATATAAGCTAATTAGCTTTTCAGCTTCTCCCATTATTGACAAAATTGGTTATTTTATTAGCTTAAATATGAGCTAATTAGCTTTTCAGCTTCTCCCATTATTGACAAAAATTGGTTATTTTTAATTTATTACTTAGTTTTAATATAATGGTTTATATGGCCTGTAAATAACTTTTTTAAGTTTAATGACAGAATTTGAGCAATTTTATCCTTCCCTAGCACCCTAACCATTACTTTTTTCTTTTAATAAACTGACATTTCAAAATTGGGTTATGAAAATTTATTATTCGGTTGCAGGCAATAATATCAAAAAAGAAGACTACATTTGTATTTAAGTTTTTATAGTTTTAACAAGGTTTTTTTCGAATTACAAGTTTACAAGTAATTAAATTTTTAATTGACAGCTTCTCTTCTTTTCCATTTTTTGTTTATCCATGTTGTTTAAAAGCTAAAAGAAAGTCGTCTTGATTGTATTGATATAATCGCCTACCACCATGTACCTCAATATTTTAAATCGAAAACTTTTTCAATCGGGGGGCATGGGCGTAGGACGTATGGAATATTATTCACACTACATAGATTCAGACCCCCCGAGGGGGGGGGCGTAGGACTTATTAAGTATTATACACACTACATAGATTCAGACCCCCCCGAGGAGGGGGGGGGCGTGGGACGTATAGAATATTATACTCCCTACATAGATTCAGACCCCCCGATGGGGATGGGGGCGTAGAACGTATAGAGTATTACACACACATACATAGATTCAGACCCCCCGACGGGGAGGGGACGTGGGACATTGAGAATATATATAGAGAGAAATGTTATAGGAGTGAGGGAGGGAAGGTAATGTTTTGTTTAAAAAGTAGGTTTTAGCTTTTTTGTAATAGACCACCCATGGAATGTATTTTTGACATTTATAATTAGGTTTTTTGTTGTTGTTGTTTAATATAGGTGGCTGGCGAGCTGGAATATGGATTGATAATAATCTAGAAAAGGTAAAAAAAAAAATTCAATTTTTTTTTTCTTCTAAAAATTATTAATTCTAACTTCAGGGAACAACTGATGTGTCCCCTACTTTTGAAAATACTGCCCTGACAGACAATAACTTTGTTATTAAAGAGATGGAGTGCTGGGCTCTCTCAGATATGGAGGTAAACTAAAAAAAATAATTTTTTTTTTATAAAATCAAAAATTTAGGTTTTTTAAAAAAATTAGCTTGATTTTTTGTTTTAATAAGGCAGGAAATGTATTTTATATTTTAACAGTTTTTTAATTTATAATGTGTTGCAGTGGTTGACGGAAATATTAATGCAATAAACGACGACTTTCTATCTTATCTTAGTTCTTTAGCAAGTTTGATTTTAGTGTTAGTTACCCCATAATAGGCATAACAAAATCAATTTCCAAATTAACATCTTAAACCAATAATATTTTCAATTATTTTACAGTCTAAAATACTTAATTGAAAGGAAGCAATTGAAATAGAGAATAGTTTTAGAGATCAAAATTAGTTATTTTTGATTTAAAATTAATAGTATTGAATATGGTGTTGGGTCATTTACTAGAAAGACATTTAAAGGACATTTCAAAGATAGGACATTTCCTAGATAGAACATTTTATAGACAGGACATTTCGTAGATAGAACATTTCATAGACAGGACATTTCCTAGATAAAACATTTTATAGACAGAACATTTCCTAGATATGACATTTAATAGACAGAACATTTCATAGATAGGACGTTTCATAGACAGAGAATAATTTTCTAAGGTAAATGAATTTTTTTCTTCCAAGTTCTCTTATCTAATAAATCATACCCTGTTCTTCCTACAATCTCTGTGATTTTTACTTCACATATTATTCATATTTTTGTTTTAAACTGATAACATATTATATTGTTGATTTTTTATAAATCAAACTAATCATATTTTCTAAATTGTGACACATTTTTTTATATACTTAAAACCTTAAATTGTCACTGAAAAAATTTTATTGTGAAATTACCAATCTCTGAAAATTCTTCGGTGTATGAAAAATCTACTCTGTCTATAGAAAGTCCTTTCTATAGAAAGTCCTGTCTATGAAATGTCATATCTAAGAAATGTCCCATCTATGAATTTCTCTTTCTATAAAATGTCCTGTCCATGAAATGTCCTGTTTATGAAATGTCCTATCTATGAATTGTCCTGTATATGAAATGTCCTATCTATGATTTTGAAATCTACGAAATGTCCGTCTATGAAATGCCTTCCTATGAATTGACCCAACACCTTGAATATGCAAATACCTGAAGAAATCCTGGTGTATTTTTTGGGGAGGAGGGGGCGGTTTTAACCCAAAAAGTTTAATAGGATAATAGCAAAGCCTCATTAGAAAGTCGTCTTTCCTTGTATTGTTATATCTGCCGTTTATTGTATAAACTGTAAATAGATGGAATCTGGATACAATACCGCTGTTCCTATTTATCATCAGTTCTCATCTTCCCTACTAGCATCAAAGGTAAGAGTTAAAGGGACAGTAAGCAAGATTTTAACTGACCTTTCATTGACAGAGTAACATGGCCGATTCACAAGCGTTGTCTGATCAGTTGTGAATTAGCTATCCATGTTTTTTTTTGTTTTTGAGAACTAATTATTTTTGTTTGTTAGATCTCTATACAAAATTGATTTGCACATTTCTTGCTTTAGAATGAAAATAAAAATATCAGAATTTAACACTTTTAAAGTCATATTATTGGATACTAGCTGAAGGGCCCGGCTTTGCCAGTGGAAAAAAATTTGAAAAAAATTATCTACTTTTTTAGCCATAACACCCTTCGGCCACCCATCACAAAAAATTTCAGCCCATTCGGTTCAGCCGTTTGGCCGACTATAGGCAACAAATATATGAATATATGTCTTGTTTTATTTATTGATATTAAAATCTTGCGAACCAAAACTAAAACTTTTTTTTGGAGGGGGGGGCATTTTCCGTTGCCCCCTCTATATTCAATTACAATTCATTTTTATTTAGAAACCGGAAATAGAGGTTGGAGGAGTACGATGTGGAAGGCGGAGTAGAAAGTACCAACCCACCTGGGTTCCAGAGAAAGGCGGAGCAGTTTATGATAATAAACGAATATTCAGTTTAGGTATTAATATATTTAATATACTTCTTTTCTTTATCATGGAATATTCATTTTTTCAAAACTTACTGTTCTTGGAGTTCTGCATTAAGTTTTGCAAATTTTAAAATTGTTTATTAGAAAAATTTTATTCACTCCACAACGCCAAATTTTAACCTCAAGAGAAAACTAACACATAAAATTAAACCAACGATAAACAATAAACGACAATTTAAAACGATAGTTTTTTTGGTTTGTTTTTTTCTAATAATTTTTTTATATGATAACAATTTTGCATAATTCATAAAAAATTTTGAAATTTTGAAACCTTCAGATGCATAGAAGTACAAAAGTTATTGTATAATCACGGAAAGTTTAAATATAACCATGTTTTTATTTGTATTCTCCACAAATGTGATTTTTACATTTCATCCTTCTGTAACAATGAAAGTTTTATCATTTGATTAATCAGATGAAGGTTTAAAGGGTACAATTGTGAATCGGACATGCCATGTCCGATTTGATGTCTGGGTAAATTATTTTCAATGGCTATAATAGCACGGTTTGCGCATTTATGCAGTAGATAAAAACATGAAAATATCAGCTGACTGAGTTACTTGTTTAGGAGAAGATGAAGAAGATGAAGGATTAGAGGATGAATACGAGGTTGATCAAGATACTACACCCACTAGCTCCCGAGGCTGGAGCTCAATGTACTATTAGCGGATTTTCATATTTTCAATTTCGTGGATTTTTACAAACAGTCGTGAATTTTCATGTTACATTTTCAGAATTTAAAGGAATCTTAACAATGACGAATTTGGCCAATATAGCAGAGCTGTATGTTTATGAGTCCAATTAAAATTGTTTCTTTCAGAGGAACTGATTTCTGTACTTCCCTCGCTTACCTGTATATGCTCATAAATTATACAAAAAATAGAAGTATGAAGACCTACATTTTAAAAGGGTTTAAAAAAACATGATTTTATCAGTCTATTTTTTTATTCTTACTCAACTTAACGGATGTCCTAAGTTATCATTTTGTTTAAAAATTGATATCTTTATGAAAGATTAGTTAACTTTTAGATTTTTGATTATTATTATAAACCGTATGACCCTTGCGCTTTGTATTCGCTTTCGAGTTACATAAAATTTTTAATATTGAAAAAAAATAATTGTTGAGATTTTTATGTTAGATAAATTGTATTTTATACAGTTGAAATATATATTATGCATGTGATAAGTGACTTAATAATAGGGTGCTGGAGGTGTTTTAATGACGTCGCCTATGACTGACGCATAGGTGGAAGCACATGACGCAAATCTAGTTTGTAACGTCATTTGTGGGTCGGAGGTAAAACGGATGTGGGTTGCCTTCTTTTCCTCGTCCCATTGGTGATTCAGCCGTTTCAAAGTTTATTGGATACAAACAAGAAACTACAAATACATATTTATCCCTGTAAATGATTTCCCAGCAGTATTGAGGTAAAACTAAAACAATCAATAAAACTTTTCCTATTAAGGGAAATATAAATAGTCGTATACAATTCTTATTAAGTTATACATCTAAAAAAGTTACTTAAAAAAAGTTTTATTTAAGGAGAAAATTTGTCCTAACTTCAGTGTTTATGTAATCTGAAAAACATTTAAAACATGTTTAACTTTGTTCAAAGAGACAATGACTGATGTTGAGAAACTGATGAAAAAAGAGAAAAAAATAGTTGTTCTCAGGAAACCAAGAATTTTCATTTTAGATACTCGATATATCATGTACAATGTATGATTACTAGGCTTTTAGGGCGCTTCGCGTCCATCTTCTATTTCAATTGTAAACATTTTCTCTTTGTAAATGCACTGTGAAATAAAAAAGCAAAAAATTTCGTGGGTTTTATAAAAAAATGTGGATTTTAAAAATTTTAATGAATCAAATTTTGTGAGAGGCAAATTTTGAAAATTCGATCATTCATAAACCTTTCCCAGGGTCGTGCAGAGGTCTAACACAAAATGTGTTCCAGTTTTCGTTTGGTTTTCTTTTCGTTTTGGTTTTCTTTTCTTTAAATTTTTTTTTGTTTCGTTTAAGTTTTGTTTTAGATTTTTCAAATGTAAAAAATCAATTCCGTTTTCTAAAGAAAAATAATACTAAAACTAACTCTCAGATTTTACAGTTAAAACACAAATTACGAAAGCTGTGGTCTCCAGTGGAGTCAAAATCTTACAACAAACTTCCGTGACTTAATTTTTACTCAAAATATAGATTGTTTTTAAAATATTTTTTTCTCCTCAAAAACTAGGTTATTGACTAGAAAAAGCGTGTTTATACACAGGTATGTTTTATTATTAGGCAGTCCGTGCGAATATAAGATACTTTTAGCTTAGCCAGGCAGGCAGTAATTCAATCAGTGTTGCCTTGAAATAAACCAGAACAAGATTACCACCTGGCGACGCCTCTCTAGCTCTTTCTCTAACTACACATATATATATGGTTATGTAAATAATGGTTCCAATCATCCCCACTAGATGTCGACAATGATTCTGTATCAAATCATTTTCTGTAATATTTCAAATTTTTGAAAATACAAACGTAAAAAAAACATTGCTTTAAATTATTAAGGAAAAAATTATGAATTTTTATCGTAAATATAGTCATGGGAAATTTATAAGCGGTGAAACCAACTGTAAGAGTTCCCGATACATGCCATAAAGAAGCTGGAAAGAAAACAAATATTGTCGTCTTCTTTGAATTCTAATTAACCTTTTCCAGGCCACTTTTTCAGAGGCCGTTCTATCCATAAACTACATTGGTCGACAACTGGACGTCTCCTATATTGGTCGTAAAATGTAGAGAGAAATATCTATCTATCAGATAAGAATTTAGCATGAGACATCTAGCGGCCAACATATCGTCCCCCAAAGTACGTGAACTATACAAAGAGAATAGAATATTATATTAGAGGGGAATTTAAAGAATCTCTCGGTATGATTTTTTTCAGTCCCTTTCAGCCTGAAAGGGAGTTCAAAGTGTAAAAATCATGTAAATGTTCACAAATTATATGCAGTAGAGTACAATACAATTTATGTTCCCTAGGCTATCTATTTCAATTTCGAATTTAAAGCTGTTAAATAAACTTTATAATGAATTAGGTAAATAAAAAACATCATTTCATTTATAGCTATAACGGAAAATCATCGTTTATAAAGTGAAAGGCATAGAGTCTAAGTGAAATGATCATTGGTCAATTATGAAACCAGCCTATTTCATAATTTGGTTTTCTTTTAACATTAATTTTAGATTTTCTATAAAATGATGTTCCAGGGCCCAAAAATTTATATAGCACAAATATGTGAAGTACATCTGCAGTAGGGAAACAGTACAACGAATGGTCGTTTTACACTTTTTTCTATGTAGTAAATTCCCCTCTAATATATATTCTATTTTCCACATCTTTAGGAAAATACAAACTTGAAAAATAAATGCATTAAAATTATCTTTAGATTTAACTTTGATTTTTCGTTATGTATTTAGATAATTATGATAATACAAAAGCTCTCTGTTATTAAGTCGAAGTCTCTTAGTTTCCTAAATTCAGTTTTTTTTCGAGCACACTGCACATGTGCTGTAAGACTTCGATAAGAGTTGATGCATTCAATGCAGTACAATTTACAAACCTTTATATTTATTTGATCAATAACGTGGAAGATATTTTTCAGGTTTAAAAATGTTTAATTCTGACAATTCTTTTAATGTTTCCAGCAGTAAAAATAAGCTAGTCACTTTCGAAAAAAACACATTTGAAAAAAATAGCTTTCAAAATTAAAAGCTTGAACAGGTTTTAATCAATATTTCAGGGCTATTAATTTACCTTAATTAAAATTAAAAATAAGTTTCTTTAGGATTATCAAAAAACTTATAACGGTCTATATATTCATATATCTGGGATTCACTGTATACTAAAGATGATTTTTTTTGGTTTAGTAAAAGTGATTTGCAGTTTCTCAAGGAATATGAGTTAATGATTTTTTTTAATAAATGAATTATATACAGGAAGGGTTGGTAATCGTTTTTGTAAACGATCGTTATACGATTGTTAAACGATCGTTTTTTGTTTCGTTTTCGGAAAAAACGATCGTTTTTAAAAACGACCCACTCGTTTTGAACTTTTAGAAAACGAATAGCGATCGTTTTTGAAAACGATCATTTTTATTAAAACGATTTGCGACCGTTTTTTATACGATTGTTTTTGAAAAAAAATTTTATTGACAATTATGTTAACGATCGTTAACGAAGGGTCGTCGTTAACGATCGTTAACGAGGGTCGTCGTTAACGATCGTTAACGAAAGGTCGTCGTTAACGATCGTTAACGATCGTTAACGAAACGACGAACTTTATCAAAACGGTCGTTTTTGGAAAAAAATGTCATGCAACTTTATTGAATGTCGTCTTACATAAAGTTTAACAGTTGTGGGGAGTTAAAACTCCTTGATATTTTCTTGAAAACTACTCAATGATAAGTACTATTGTTTAATTCTCATGGGGCTTTAAAGCAAACTTTTGTTTGAAAATTTAATCATGCTTAATTTTACTTCATGATGGGGGGAGGGGAGGTGTCTCTTTTGAAAACGGATACTTTTTAGATTAATCTTTATTTTAAACTCGCAATGGCAACATACCATAACAGATATGCGCATAAACTTATGACATTTTTTCACAGGGTGGAATTAGAAAGTGAATTATTTGAGAAATCTTAGTTTTGATCCATATGAATTACATTAAAATCATGTGTGGGTTTAAATTCAATTTCTTTTTAAACAACCATCCTCTTAAATCGTGTATAGTTTGTCATAAATTTGATTTAATTACTCCAAAAAAGTGATAGATTTGATTTGTCAAAAAGCTTTTTATTTTTCAAAAAATCTTTATCTTATAAGTGTTTTTGTTTTCCTGCGTTTTTTACACTTATCCTTTGGAGAAAAAATTAAGATGTTTCTAACCTTTGTGTTCTAAAGAGGGGGGGGGGAGGGGGGTATTTGTGCATAACCCCTGAAAAATCAATCAATACATAATCAGGATAAAACCGACTATTCCGAAGAAGACATCAGGAACTTTATAAAACAATAAAGTTATAAAATAATAAAGTAATAAAAGTACAAATCAACAAATAATACAAAATAGAATGTTTTTATTTACTTTGATATTATCTTGATAAACCAACTATAAGAACTATGTTAATTACATTACTTTTTTATCTCGATTTAAAAAAATAAATTTTTATCAATATCTTAGTTTTCTTTTATTATATTTTGCTTTTGTTTTATCATGATTACTATTTACGAGATTTATGAGTTCGGTCGCGTAATTTTTTTTATCTTTTATACTTTTTTCTTTGGCGGATGAGTTATAAATTAATAAGTATAATAAGACAACTTTTTGAATTTGCAGATTTATAAATTATTATAGATTATTAGCCAAAAAGGGGTTGAATCTAAATTGAAAAATGTATTTGTAAGTTTTATTATTATTGTTTTATTAATGTATTGATGACTAGGGAGTGGCACACTGAATTTATTAAAGAATGTCCAAATGGTAAATTATCAAGGTAAATATTGTATATGTCACTCTGTAATTTTAAGTGACATTTCAACAGTTCCCTTTTAACATTTCTCTAAATAATGATAGTTTTTTTGTTGCGTAAAACATAAAATATGTGACAATTTCTTCGACAACTTGTTTTGTTTCTGTTTTTCAGAGAATTGAAAGCAAACATGGGTATCTCATTAATTCTTGAAAATATAAAACTTTTATTGGAATATTGTTGTGAATCGGACATTCCACTTAACAAATGGAGGTTCCTTTGGAATTACGCATACTGTCCCTTTACAAATTTTACCAAAAGTAAAATAGCGAACATATTTTTTTAAATGGAAAACAGTTTCTTTTTTAATTTTTGGTTTATCTCAATACACATTTGTCTTTTTCAATTTTCAGATAAAAAGAAGAGAAATACTTTCAAACTCTTGTACAAAGTGTACCGTTGTACTTTCAAACTCTTGTACAAAGTGTACCGTTGTTAATTATTTTTCGATATTGATCCTTCAACATTTGTTCGGAATGTTCTTAATTTTCTTATTATTTTTCCAATCCTGTTGAATTCAAAAATATTTCGTGGTTTTACGAATTAAAATACTCTTATTATTCTTTTCCCATCAAAAATATAAATTTAAGTTTTCATATTTAATATTTTGAATGCACCCCTTAGGAAGAAGGTAAACAATAATACTTAACTTTTAACAAAAAACAATCGAACCAAATTTTTTTGACATTTTTTTTTCTTCATTTTTGTAAACATCTATTTACAACTCTTTAATATCTTAATCAATACAAATCAGAACCCAAGTTCATATACCACAAACTCAAATTATTTAATCCCTGCATCTTTGCAACAAGATGGTTTAAACCTATGATATTTCAAGCTAAGACTATTTGATTTTACAGAATTCATAGTTTGAAATATCAAAGGTCTACGATATTGGATTGCTAAGATATAGGAGGAAACCGTTAGAGTTTGTGGCAAAAAACATTTCCCTTCGTTTTTAACCTTCCCTCAAAAAATTGAGCCAATTCGGTCTAGCCGTTTGGCCAGCTACAGCTAATATATAAATATATATTATTATATAGATACTAGGTGAAGTATCCGGTTTTGCCCGTGAAAAATAAAAAATATAAAAAGTTTAAAGATAAAAAAGTGTCCATCCATTTTTTAGCCTATGTTACACATAGGGTACCCATGGGTTTCCTCAAAAAAGTTCAGCCAATTTGGTTCAGCCACTAATATAACGATAAACATATATATATACATTTATAAGCGAAGAGCTTTATTATACAGATAGATAAGTAAATAATTATAATTATATATATACATATAATATAATTATATGTTTCTAAAATATATGTAAATAAAAAAACTATTCACACAATTCTTTATTAAATATGTGTATTTACAAATCTATGTCAAATAACTATTTTTAAGTGGTGATATAATTGATTAAATGCATTAAACCAGATATAATTATTTGGAACCTTTTCCCTCCAAACCTTTAAACGGTCTGTAGTTGTAATCTCCAGTACATGACCCTTCATTACAGGAGGAGCTTACCCGATTTACAACTAATAAACTATAGTTAGAAGCTGCGTGGTTTATCCGACTTTAAAAGTGTTTAATTCTGAAAATTCCCTCATTGTTTTCTAGAGTAGAATTTCGAAAGTCACTTTTGTAGAGAAACCACAATTGAAATTAATTAGTTTTTAAAATTACAAACATGGGAATCCAAATCATAGTTGATCAGATGAAGGTTTGAAGGGTAATGTTGTGAATCGGATATGCTACTTTATAAATGAAGAGTCACGTGAAATTACGTTGACAGTCCCTTTAATGTAAAACCAAAAATATGATCTCTAATCTCTTTATTATTAATTACGTTGACAGTCCCTTTAATGTAAAACCAAAAATATGATCTCTAATCTCTTTATGTTGACAGTCCCTTTAATGTAAAACCAAAAATATGATCTCTAATCTCTTTATCATTAATTACGTTGACAGTCCCTTTAATAAAAAACCAAAAATATGATCTCTAATCTCTTTATCAATAATGAAGATTAATAAAGCTAACTTCTGAATTTAAAACTGATGTTTAGGTGACAGAAATCTACAAGAAACTGGGAATAACAAGGAAAAAGCTGAAAATAAGTTTTTTTTGAAATTTTGATGTCTGGGTGTAAAATATTCTATAGATCGTTAAAATGGACAAAATAATATGGGTGAAATTAATTAACTTTAGTTATTTCTATAGCTATGCATTAAAACAAATAACAAATATTAAGGTTTCTATCTCGCATAATAAATAGATATACATTGGTCGACGTTTACATCAATACATTTAAGACGACTATTCTATTTCAGTTTTGATTTCTAACCAGCATTTTTCCAATTACAAGTTTACATGGAGAATCTATTATTTGACAATTTCTCTTTGTTTCCATATTTATGTGTATCAATGCTATTTGAAAACTTGGCAGAACTCAAAAAAGGAAATCGAAAGTCGTCTTCATTGTTTCCATATATACGACTGTGGTAAAAATTGCTTAAACAAATAAAAGAAAATTTCAAAATCATATGATCAATTTCCTAGTTTTCGCCAATATTCAAAAATTCAGATTTTTGTTTTCAGATCAATAATTGATCATCTAGTGGACCAGATCTTTACAATATTTGATAAGTAAACAATTCTATTGATTTAGAGGATTTCCTTGTTTGATGAAAAAGACGACATTTTGACAGATAATTTCAAAGACGACATTTTTCAGGCAGGGGAAGGGAAGTATGCACTTCAAAGAATTCCTGATTGCAGCTCATATGACGGTAAAACGAATCAGTTTTATAAAAAGTTTTTAATATAATAATTTCAAATCAAAGAAAAGTTTTTTGTTTATTTTTCCAAAGATTAAAATCAAACCCATTCAAACTTTTGTTATTTAAATTTTCGATATCGCCATAAAAGGGAAACTAACGACGCAATTTCAAGAAACCCTCCATTTGAAAAATTACATGCACGATTCCTGCAGTACCTTTTGAACCCTTTTCTAAGCTAAACTGATGGTGATATCCATAGATTAATAACAATACAGATAGAACACTAGATGTCGTCTTTTCAAGATTTAAGGGTTTTTCTTTTACAATTAAACCCTAAGGAAGAGTCCCTAAGGAGTTTCGCGCAGGCAATGATAAATTTCAAGACAGAGAGAGAGAGAGAGAGAATGCGCGTTACTCCTTTGGGCCTCTGCCTCAGGGTTATTGTGAACGAAAAATCCCTAAATCTGGAAAAGACGACATTAAGTTTTCTATCTTTATTGATATTTATCTTTGGTGATATCCTTGCTTTCTAATGACGAATTCTCTTCAGCGCCTTGGGGAATTTTGCAGCATGCAGAGGCAAGAAAGAAAACGAAAAAAAAATTCTTTCTCAAGATGAATAATTTGCCAATAACTTCTGAATTATTACTTAGATAAAGGGTGAAAAGATACTGTTTTGAATGAGGACTGTAATTCTTTATAAAGGGATGCGATTTGATATTGCTTTGGCAGTCCCTTTAAAGTTTTATACTTTGAGGATAACTATTGGGGGAATAAAAAAACGGGATTATCGATGTTTTTTTCGAAAACATTTACAAAATTTTCATCAAAAATGTAATATAACAAGGCTTTTAGGGAGCTTCGCGACCATCTTCTTTTTCAAATTTTAATTTTGGCTTTATCTGTGAGCATCTTCTCTTTGTACATTATAAAACAAAAACAAAACAAAAAGTTTGCAGATTTTTTTGCGCATTTTCAAAATTTTACAAAAATTAAAAACTTTTAAAACTGTGATTATTCATAAACCTTCCCTGGGGTCACGTTCGGTCCCATACAAAATTTGGGCCCGATCGGTTCAGCCGTTTTGACGTTTATTGGATACAAACAAACAAACCGACAAGCTAAGTTTATATATAGATGTAATATAATGTAATAAATATAATGTAATAAAATGTAATATAATGTAATGTAGTGTAATAAAAAAGTTAAGCAATAATATTATTTTTAATATATTTTAATATTTGTATGCCTAAAATTCGATGCAAACCAAAAATTTTAAACTTCTGTTCAAAACATCGATATTCGATAATCCCGGTTTATTTACACTGTATTAATTGTTAATATATTTGTATGTCAGTCAACTGGTTCTGCAGAAGAAAAGCTAAGGAAAAACATTATTTAAAGATATTAACACTTTACATATTACAATACAATTTTATACATAACAATAAAAATCTTTAGTAGACAATTCAAAACAAAGTGTGAATCAAAATAGAGAATATCTAATACCTACACCATTTGCAATCTTTTCAAATCTTATATAGAAAACTAATACAATCTTTCAAATTTATTTTATTAAATAGCTTTTAAATATCAATTACGATATTTTATTTATTCCTCAATGGTTATGTTTAAATTGAAAATTAAATTCACTTGTTTTCGAAATAGAGTTTTTTATATAAAAAACCAACAAGTTGTAAAAAAATTAATTCAAAAGAAAATGCAATGAATTAAATTTGATCGTAATTTAAAATGTTATGTTTTTTATTTAAATATGATTTTTCCAGGTGGCAATTCAAACTTCTGGACAGGTACATTTCTTTAGAAGATTAAGATCAAGATCAAGATCAAGATCAAGATTTTTTTAAATGATAGTGGTAAGATGCGTACTTGTAAATAAATGTTAGTCAACCATAGCAGTGGGACGGATAGCAAGTCAACTCATCTATATCGTGTAAGGAGATTTAGCCGTTAAAAAATGCCAACCCAGAGAACATGCTTTGAACGCATGTTTAAACGTGTGGAAAACCAAAGCCACTTGGACGGGAAATTCTATTTGAATTCAAGCCAATAGACATGAGACATGGCTTGACATGAGCTAGGAGGAAATAGAATCGGTCTGGGCTAAAACCGAAATAGAGTCAGTATTCACGAAGAGTCTGAATACGGCAGATTACCTTTTCATTCACGGCCAATGAAAGGCGGACAGTCCGTCAGAGAGCTCCGGCTTTCCATGATTCATTAGTATCATTTTTTACTTGTAAATACATTTTTCCTATACTCTGTAGATTTACTCACATCAGTTTTAATGCTTTAGATTTTCTCTTTTTCATAAAACTTTTTATGGTAACAGATAGAAAAATAAAACATATATTTTCTAGTGATGGTTCTGGAGGAATAGAAGTGGACGAAATGATTAAAATGCTGGAAAGTTTAAATTTTGGGGAAAATATTCAATTTGGGTCAATTCTTAATACTTAACTTTTATAAAAATGAAAAGATAAATAAAAAACAAAAATATATTTCTAATTAATAATCTTCAAATTTTTCACTTTTCAGTCTTTTAAAAATATCTTTCTCCAATCAATTTAATTTTTGGTTTAGTTGATGATTTACGAGAATACAGATTCTGAAACAGGTATTGAAATGAAATATCGTTTTAATAACCTATCTATTTAACAATCTTTTAATCTAAAGTCGTAATTTTGAGTAGCATCGTTGTGAATATTAAGAGCGGCATACCCAATTCACAATGGTACCTTGTCAGCTTTAGACTGCATGTAGATATTTTTTAACCTGAAATTAAAATGATTTAATTGTATCTCTTTAGAAGTGAGAAAAAAGGTTTTAAAGGGTATCGTTGTGAATCCGGCCTGCACCACTTTATAAAGATGGTCACTTGAAATTACATTAACAGTCCCTTTAAGGTTTATCCCGTGTTGAATGTGTTGAGAAAGCTCGAGATCTATTTAACTATCTCGACTCGGATGGGAATAATGAACTAACAGAGGTCAAGATATAATTTTACAGGGTTCAAGTAAAGAATATATTTCTTCAATAAATGCCTACTGATAATGGTCAAAATTCGGCATTTTGTAATAAAAAACATACGTTTTCTTATACAATGCCCAATTTTGACTATAACGGAAGATATGCGCAAAAATAACAAACCAAAAACGATGCAAAAACGAACGCGTTGTAACGATTGTTTTTGGTTTGGCTTTTCTTTTTTTAGGTCAAAGATATGGAAAACCTTAACAGAACTCAATCTTGAAATCTTGAAAACTTTACTATTCAAAAAACGAACAAATTATCAACAACACTAAATGCAGTGTATAAATGGTTTCCGCCAAACCATGAGAGACGATTTGATTTTACGGCGTGCATTCGTTCGTATGAAGAACTTTGTTTAGAACTAGACAATATTGGATTTATTTAATGAATTTAGTCGTGATCCACATTTAGAGAAATTCCAGGACTTAGATAATTTTGTGATTATCATTTTATGAAAAAGCAATATGGTGGGCGAAGGAATTTAGAGAATATTCAATCCAAGATCAAAGGTGATTTTCAAACCTCCTTTTTTGTTTCCTGGGACGTATTACAAAATATTATCCGGACGAGTTTGTTGACGTATTACAAAATATTATCCGGACGAGTTTGTTGACGTATTACAAAATATTATCAGGACGAGTTTGTTGACGGGTGTTTAGCTGATGAAACCATACTGGAACGATTGCTCAGGTAAGCATTTTGACTAGTGAGGATCGTCATAAGACGTGAAAATATAAATAAATATATATATACTAGAAATTCAAGGCGCTTCGCGCCCTTCTTTCTAGCCTTAGAGGGCCCTTCGCGCCCATCTTCTAGATTAATTGTGAACAATGTTCTCTTTGTGTACATCGTAAAACAAAACAAAAATAATTCGCGGATTTTCACAAAAAATTTCGTGGATTTTCAAAATGTTAAAAAATTTAATGAAGATCGAATTTTGATTGAGACAAATATTTAAAATTTCAATCATTCATAAACCTTCCCTGGAGTCCCTAGATGTCCCACAAAAAATTTGGGCCCGATCGGTTCAGCCGTTTTGACGTTTATTGGATACAAACAAACAGACATAAAATATTTCACTTTATGGAAGCGAATTTTAAGATAATCTGATCAAAATACCGGTCACGTTTTGCCAAAAAATAATTAATTTTATAAAATGCTCGAAATTTACAAAAACTCGTTTTTTTTCTGGCAAAAACGCAACATTTGGGTGAGAATGATTCTGGCTCTGAGACATACCTTTGAGATGTAAAATTGATCTTAATGTGAAGTTCCTAACCTTAACCTCTTTAAAATTAGTTATTTTTATTTCAGGGGATCAAAAACTTCCGAAGGCATACAATCCATTTTGTTCAATTTAAACACTTTTTTTTCATTTTCTATTTTAAATCAAAATTTTAATGAACAAATGCTGATTGATGTAGATGATGATGATGATGATGATGACAACGAAAACGAGAATTAACCAAATCAATCCATTTAATTATTTTTAAAATCTTTATTTTAAAATATTGTTCTTCTTAGGTCTTAAATAGCGTTGCGAAAAAAATGAATGAAAAATAAACAAGATTTTTGTTTAATTCATCTTAAGGAGAATATCATTAGATTTTATTTAAAAAGAGAGACATGTCGGATTTACAACGGTATTCTTCATTTTGATTGTGGGTTTCTGTAAAAGTGACTGCAGATTTTTATGCAACAGAGACATTAAAGGTAAATGACAAAATTCAGCAAATTAATTTAAGATGAAAATACGACGTTATCTTCCCTTTTTTTTACTCAGATAAAGATTTAAAAAGTGAGGCCCCGGTTTGAATCAACGGGAAATTAACAGGACGTCCACACAGCCTCTAACAGGCTTGTATTATCCCCATTAACCGGACGTTGTCCTCAGTATAAAGGGTTGGTTGCCTTATGCTAAATTTCTGTCGAATCTGAGAACACGCGTCTAACTAGACTCAACTTTAGACTATATAGATTTTGGGTAAAGATATAATTCAAAGTGGCAACCAGAGGGGCTGGATCTTAGCTACCTGTCATTGTATTTTAGCCTCAGTGAACACTTAGGACAGTTTACTGATAAAGGATATTAAGAGATTATGGCTTATTCATACAGTACAAACATCAGAGAAATCACAGTTAAAATAATCAAAGAGAAAATTATCTCGTGCCTTTGTAATCAAATAGAGCTTTAAGGGTACCATAGTAAACCGTACATCCTTCTCTATTTAATAGAAAAGTTGAAATTATGTCCTACAGTTTTATTAAGTTTTTTTAAGTGAAAACCTATTTCTGCTTAAATGAAAATAAATATATTCAGAAATCACCCCCGAGCACTGCAGTAATATACAGATTGACCTTTGAAAGTGGAGTACATGGCCTGTACAATTAGTAAAGGATTAGCGAACATCATCATATTCAGCAAGGTTGTAATGCAAGGAAAGTTAATTGCAGTTGCGTATACTCTGCGTACATATTGAAACCAGTTCTCTCTGGGCGGAATTTGTAAACAAGAATAGATGCATCAGAGTTCGTTTAGTATCCGAGGAGGTTAAAAGCATTAAATTTTGATAATTTTGATAATTCACATAATAGTTTCCTATGACCAGAATATTTTATTGATTTTTTATGTGAAAGATGGATCCCATGTCAGGCTTCGACATCCGTCTTGTGTTTACATTACTGCCCAGAGACAGTACACTGCAGTACAAACGATGCGCACGCCTCTGAAATAACTTTCCTTGCATAGCAACCTTGATATTCAGGCTTTATTCTAATACTATAGGTTGGGAACCCACCTTTGCCTTGAAGCATAGTTTTCTTTAGAAACCTAGAACATTCCCGTGGTTATACAAAGTTACTTAATCAAAATTTTGGCAAATCAGTTAAGGGCTTCCTGAGTTCTGATCGGACATACAAACAGAGATTACTACTTTATAAATATAGGATAGATGTAGGGTTCCCTGTAGTTATAAGGTCTTTTCTTTCTGTGCCAAACCAAAATATTTGATAATTACAAACTTTTTTGAAAACAGATTTTCGATCATTTTGTTTAAAGAGTGACAGTTCGTAATTAATTTAAGTATCATCCTTTGTGGGTAACCCTAGCCTGAGATAAAAACATGTATGAAGATTTAAATTTTTTTTTTCATCTAAAATATTTTATTTTAATTAAGTTATGGTTTAAATATCGTTAGAACCAAAGTGGGTCAGCCAAGGCCAAAATATAATTTCAAATAAATGTGGAATCAATAAATGTTAAAAAATGAATACCACTTTTTAAACCTATGATGAAATCCAAATAAATCCTTCTTGGAATCTAGTGATGGGCAAGTTTTAAATTTGTAATATATCAGATTATAACGAACCTTGCATCTTTTTTTAACCATTATTTTTGGACATTGTAAGGCCTCAACAAGTTTCAGAAGGTCAGTATGGAATGTAATGTTGTTTAAAGTTAACACAAGAATGAATTAAAATTCATTTGAAATCTTAAATTTTTGTATCTGTTAACATATTTTCAACATTTAAATGTCTTCATTCCACTGCAAACAGTTTGTTATGCTATGCACTTTTTTGAATATGATACAGGGTGTCCCAAATTAAGATTACAATTAAGTGTTATATTTTAAATTGACTTTTTTACCCTGAATTAAATTGTTAAAATGTCAAACTTGTCAAGATTGAAGACGATTAGTACTTTGTACCTCAATTTCTATATTAAATTTGAAAACCCTGTAGGACGTAAGTTAGATTAAAATTTGTTTTCAACGACTCTATCTTTGGAATAATAACAAAGTTGTTTGATATAAGCACAGATGTATTTGATAAATAGCTCCCTATGAGATCTAAACTATAACGAGGTACATTCAACAATCCTTTCACGAGACATACTGTACAGTTACTAGACGACGACAAACTGGAGCTTTACAAGACATTGCAGGTCCTTGCAGAGTTTAGAACAACCACCACGGGGTGCCGACACTATAGCTTTCTATAGATTCCACCCAAACACTATTCTCCTCTTTCTCTTTTGGCAAAAAGTCCTCAAAATATTGCACATATTAGTATCCGGCAACAAGGTTGGCACCAGCATGGATGGCAACGGGGGCAGCGGCGTATCCGGCGTGGGCAATGGGGGCAGCGGCGTAGGCAACAGCGGGGGCGGCTACAGCCTGGACGGTGTGGGTTCTGGTCTCAGTGACAAGAGGCTGGTGAACGGTCTGGTGAGTACGGAGGGGTCCGGTGACTGGGACCTGAGCGTGGACAGGAACCTCTTGGAAGATGGGCTGGGCAACATGGGTGGTCCTGACAATAGGGGCAGGCTGGTGGGTGGCAATGGGGGCGGGGATGTGAGTGTGGGTGGTCTCAGCAACGGGGTGGGTCAGGGTGGAGATCTGGGGGGTGATGCTGGCGAAGGCATGAGCCTCGGCGGTGGAGTAAGCGAAGTTGCCTCCAAGACGGTGATGCTCAATAGAAGCGGAATCATGAGCAGGTGCTCTCACCAAGTAAGAAGCAGCAGCTAATGGAGCTCCAGCAACAACGGGAGCAACAGCAACAGTGCTGGCCCTGGAGAAGGCAATGAGGGTTGAGAAGAAGAGGAATCTCTGAAAAAAATATGCTTGAAGTTTGAGAGTAAATAATGTCTTAAGAATCAACAGTCGTAAACAACACCCCATGCCCCCGCCCCCCCCAAGCCAAGCGCCTCTACAACTCAATACTGAGAAGTTTGACATTTAAGAAACAAAGAAGTAGAGGCTTAAAACTCTAAATATGAAAGAACAGTTAATGATAATTATAAAGCTAGGTTTATACAAACCAGTGATGCAACAAAAAGAAGGGGGGGAGTCCTCTTTTGAGATACAACTTTTAATCAAATTAAACCCCCCCCCCCCCCTCCTTAAAACCCCTATTGTACAAAGATAAAATTATAAAAGTTCAAGTCTTTATATTCAATAAATCAAAATCATAAATAAATAGAAAATTAAAAACTATTTTATGTAAAAATATTGAAAATGTAAACTTACGTTCATGGTGGTTGTTTATCTGACTCTGCACTACCTAGCAATGTGACTCAAATCTGTGCACGCACCATTTTATACCTTAGCGCGCGTAGAGCAGGATTTCAACCAGTCTGCGCGCTTTTCAACCGGTCTTATGAAAGAGCAAATTTGGGCTTTCTTAACTCCACCCTAACTCCAAAATATTCGTAGAAAATAAGAAAAAATATTGCCTAAAAATGTAAAAAAGACGAAACAAATATTTATTACATCATCAAGAAACGAAATTCAGTCTTGACAGTTTTAGTTTTTCTGTATTTTAAGTGGTGTGACCTAAGTGTTTACGTTAACCTTTTACAAAGTGCCAAAGGGTTGCTTTGTGAAGATCAACTGATTTAAACGTAACAAATTGTAAACCAACCATCGACTATTGTCATCCCTTATATTCTCTTTTTAACCCCCTATACCCCTCATACTCATTTATTTGTAATACGCATCTAACATATTATAACCCTTGGACGAAAAGTTTAGTTTTAGAATAAAAAATAGCACTAACAAAAAAACTTTTTAGCCTATTTTCTCTATAAAAAATGCTAAATTTAAAAAAAAATCTTTCCCAAAGGAAACATTGAAAAATTGCTTTTCATTTTTGTGTAAAAGCAAACATAGAATGCCTATCATTCAATAAATAAGTTTAAAGTAAAAGATTTTTTAAATGAAAAATAAAGTTTAACATATTGTTCCCAGAAGAGTTATTTTTTTATTTTTTTTTTCAGCGCGAGTTTTGTAAATATTAAATTCTTCCAGTGACAATTTTATTACAAGATGTTTTTAGTCTTTCTTTCTAGAAGGTTATTTTCATATTTGTGGTTGAAGAGTTTTTAATTGTTTTCATTTTGCGAGTGTTAAATTTTTTTGCAATTAAAGAATTCTTTCTTCTCTTTTCTTATTGTGAGCTAAGAGTTTTTTAATGTCGAGAATAAACTGTTGCTTATTACTGCTCGTAAGAATTCCTAGCAAGAGGAGAATATTTTGAATAGGATGAAACACATAGATTGTAGTACAATAGACGGCAACGTAAGTTTGTACACACTCTATACAGCTTTATTCTTACGTCACAAGTGTCAACTCAGTTTTTGTGTCTGACCAAATTATTAATAATTGTGATAATAAGTGTTGTCTTAAAGTAAAATAATTGAAATTCATGTGTTCTTTATTTTCTGTTTTTACACTTTTTTATTTAATCTTGGAAAACATGTCAACTAATGTGATAAAATTTCGTTTTCCTTGTTATATTTGACACTTGTGACGTCGTGTGTATAATTGGTCCATTTCTCTGTTGCCACCTATTGTACTTGATAATCTATTTGGGACGAAAGAGTGAATCTTAAACACTCTAAAACTGGTATAAAGATAATGTCAGCCTTAAATTGATCTTTAAATGTTTTCATTATATGATATTCATGAATCCAGTTATTTTATTAGTGCTTCAATGGTATTAAAACTATTA